CATTGCAATATTTTACTTCAATATGTAAACTGAGGTTTAGTATAAATGTTGTTTAATGTTTAAAAACCTGGTATCTCCCTTGAGATTTTCAATAGTAGTAACACAAACTTTAAAGAAAGAGGGTGATTCTGTGTACCTGTTTCTCCATTTGGCCTTTACTAAAGGTTAACTGGTTGTCTCCCTCAGCTCTGTGGTTATGTCTTCTCCCAACATTAACCTTAATTTGGATTAATTTTATACCTTAATGAGCAATTGAGTAATTACAATTTGTTCTTATTTTCTTTAACTACAACACAGGAAATTTATGTCTAGAAGGATTCCTCTTGGGCAGGCATTTTGTCTGAAGTGTCTCTGAAACATATTCAGAATGAATTAGACTATCAAGTCTCAGTGCTACAGATAAAAATAACAATTATATGTGTAGAGCCAAGCAATGAAGGGAATAGGTGAGTACATTGTTGATGGTCAGAGGTTTAAATGTTAGCATCAACAACCAAGATTTTATGGAATGTCTATCCTTAACAGCCCTTAAAAGCCACACAGGACAGTCACCCCTTATCCTTGGGGGACATATGCCAAGATCTCCAGTGGATGCCCAAAGTCACAAATAGTGCCAGACCCTACATATAATATGTGTTTTTTTTTCCTACACACACAAGCCTACAGTAAAGAGGTTTTTTTTTTTAATATATTGGGCATAGAAAGATTAACAATGACTAATAAAGCAATATAACAATATACTGTGACAAATGTTAAGAGCATGCCATCTCTCTCAAAATATCTTATTGTCCTATACTCACAGTCTTTGTGACCATGCAAGATGATGAAATGCTGCTGTGATGAGATGAGGTGGGAGGATGGCACAGGTGTTGTGACGCAGTGTCAGGTCCTCTGGGGCGACAGGAGACCCTCTCGCCGAGATGGCGGGGAGCGTGGGCAGATTTCATCATGCTGTTCAAGTTACTCAGATGAGTGTGCAATTTAAAACTTATAAATTGTTTATTTCTGAAAATTTCCATGTCATTTTTTAGACCGCAGTTGACCACAAGTAACTGAAACTGCAGAGAGCAAAACCGCGAATAAGGCGGGACTATTTATTGCACACTGACTGGGAACTGCCACTGAACACACGCCTTCATTTTACAAATCAAGAAAGTCTTGATTTTCAAAATGTCTTCAAAATGTCTTCATTTTACAAATGAAGAAAGTAAAGGACCTGCTTCCTAAGTTGCCATGCAAATTCGATGAGGTAGTAAATGTGAAGCACTTAAATGAGATAGTAAGTATGAACCCTGGCTGTTCGTGATTATCAGGAGATGTTCACCATCAGCAGATTGGACGGTGTCTGGTAATTACTGTAAGTGTCTTGGTGACTCTGGGATGAAGAAGGACCACAAAGCATTATTTCCCTTTTATTCCAGTGACTCAATAAAAAAATTACCCCACAGTTATTTCCCCAAATGTTTATGTTATTCCCAAGAACCACAATAAAGTACCTTTGACTTTAGAAAAGTCCAAGACTTAATGTTTCTCCACCTGACAGGCCCATAAATGTTCATTCTGGGACTGCACTCCTAATGCTTCCTTGTAGCACACAAATGGTCATCAGCATAATAAATAAGCATTTTGTAATGCTGCTTGTAAAACCCAGCACTTTACCATTTAGTAACATTTTCTCTTTCATTGTCTAATTTGTTTCCAATATCACCCTAATGACACTGGCTTTATTATTTCTATTTTGTATCTAAGATATTAGAAATTCGGAGTAATTAAATGACCATCCTAAGGTTACAACATTGCCAGATGGCAGGTAGGGACTTGCACTGTGGTCCTCCTGGTTCAAGTTCTGTCACTGTCTGATCTTTTGGTCTCTCAGTTTGGAAGAATCTGGTTCAGCAGAACATTTGTGAAAGCTTCTGTGGATAGATGGTAATTTGGGAGTGGGTTTGCTGATTTCATAATGGAAAACCAGTTTTTGGAGTGTGCTCTATATTGGCCTAATTGTTTTACTTTGTAATATGGACGATTGTATTTACCTCATCCCTGGTGAGCACCCCTCCCCCACACATGCACACACACACACACACACACACACACACACACAGAGCAAATAAGCAAAAACAATCAAATGTAAAAGAGAGGTTACTTCCTTTCTTTTTCTTTGTAATAACCCACCATATTATACATTTAAAATAAATGCAGGTCATTCTTCACTTAAGCTTTTGAGCTTCTCAAAGAATATGTAGTGAAAAAAGAACTCCATTTCACTTTATCAATGATTGAATAACCAAATATATTTAATAGTGAAATTTCTGCAGCACTTTTATTTCTTGAGATTTTATCATTGCAGATAATGTAGTATTTCTTTTTGAGAGGTTATTTTCTTAGTAAAACCACACTTTTTCATTCTACCACTTCCAGTTCTGTTAATTTCTATAAGTTTTTTTCCTTGAGATTTTATACTGCATATGGAACTTTTTTAAATGTTTATTTTTGACAACTAAATAATAACATAAGCAAATCATTATTCAGTATGAAGTTTTGAAAACTCCTTTCACATTCAGCATAACCTTGAAATTCTGTTGTTATAAATTCCACAAGTCATCACTCTCGCTTAGCGCATCATTTTCTATCATTTTGATGTCGAACCATTGACAACATTATGGCAAACTGCAACCCTTAACATGATGTTTTAGTAGTAACAATGATGTGCACTATCACCGACAGACTTCTGAACAAACGTTGGTGTAGGTGAAAGTCTTCACCTGGAGAAATATCAAGGTTGGAGCTTCAGTAGTTATGAACCAGAGATAATTTTTTAATATTCAGAATGTATTCAAATTCATCTTAAACTTTACCCAATATTATTGTGATGACTATCAAAGCCCTTTCTTCCTATAACTGAATCACTTAAACACTCAAGTAAACTGTACTGTCATTTATAATAAACATGATATGCTATCATTTCCAATGTTATTGAAATGTTTATTATTATGCTATAGGTTTAAATTCTCATACTGCTCTTAGCAAGGTCACCAGTGAGATTCTAGTCTCCACATTGAAAGGATAGTTTTTGGTCCTCATTCTCTTCATCTTTATGCAGATATTGGAGGAAAGTTAAATTTTTTTACCATTTTGAAACTCTCTCATTTCATGACTTTCTGAGGGATGGAATCTTTCCCTCCTTTCTCTCTGAATACACCCCACTTTTCTTTCCCTTTCTCTCCTCCCCAGGAAATCACAAACTTCCAAGTCATTCTAGACCCTCCACCCTTCACTTGTCTTACTCTCAGATAGTCCTCCACCTTTAGCAGTGTCCATGTCCCAGAGGCCCAGAGAATCCTTCCTCCCTCTTCATCTCCACTGCCACCATCCAGGGCTCCATGCTTTCGGACTGTGTGATCACTATGCCATTCTTACTGATTTTACTAACCCTGCTCTTGGCCTGCTTGCTTCGTTCCTGACAATGCTATTGGAGGGAGCTAGAAAAAAATGTGAAACTCTATAACATGGACAACCCAATTACAAAAGCACCCACAGTCCTTTCCTTCTGCTTCCTCAGGAGAGCCCATGTTGCTATGGGTCCTTCCTTCACAATCCTCTCTCACTTCCACGATTTGCCTATGCTCTTCCCCCGGTCTACAGTGATCTTGTTCACATGCATCATCCTTTGCCACCCCAATTTCCCCCTGGTTAGCTGCCATTCATCAAATAAGATGAGCTTTGCTTCTTTCAGGGAGCCTTCCCTGACCAACCTCCCACCCATAGCTCTGATCCCACAGCACCTGCAGAGCACAGCACCGGGCACATTTCCCGGCCCCCTCACTGGCCCAGAACAGCACCCCTCCAGCTGCTCCAGGCCTTTGCCTCTTCTGTGGCTTCATACAAATGAACACGGCCACATGGGAAGTTGTGAGATGAAGAAGATGAGGTCACTGTATAGGAGGGACCTTGGTTTCTGAGCTACCACTTGAAAAAAAGTTTCTGGATGATTAAAAATATGTTTCAGACATTTTGTAATTGAGGTACCAATTCTTTTTTTTTTTTTGTCTTTAGGATTTTATTTATTTATTTATTTATTTATTAGATAGAGGAGAAAGAAGGGAGAAAGAGAGGGAGAGAAACATCAATGTGTGGTTGCCACTTGTGACCCCCACCAAGGACCTAGCCTGCAACTCAGGCATGTGCCCTAACTGGGAATCAAACCCATGACCCTTGGGTCACAGGCCGGCACTCAATCCACTGAGCCACACCAGCCAGGGCTGAGGTACTAATCCTTACTACAATAATTAGACTACCTAGTGTGTAGGTACTGCTCAATACATGTTTCTGAATTAATAACTGAATGAGTGAATAAAAATGCTTTAGGTCAGAAAACAGAGAATGCATCAGATGAGGTATCTTCAATCAAGCTGTTATATTTGCTGTCCAAAGTTAGCTTACTTTTTAAAACATTCATGTTCACAGGGTAATTTGTTAACTACTCTTTTTAGAAATTTATTTTTCTTTGAATCTTCTCTGTGTCAGATACAGGTACATGGTTATGGTATGAGACATTTGTACTGATAATTTTCTGTTGAATAACTCAATCTTGTCTGAAGTTTACTGCTATGTAACAGATTTAAACAAGTAAATGACAATGTTGTGATCCTTCATTGACTTTTCTTGGCAACCATTCTTTTATTCAGTAGAAGGATGGCCATTATTTTTCTGCAATAGCTAGCTAATTCTCCTAAGCCTAGCTATTAACTATTATGATTTGTGGTAAGCATTATAAAAGAGGCCATGTAGGTGAGATAAACTTACAAGCAATAATTAAATTAGGTGATTCCTTTTCAGTAGCTGGTAATGAGATTTCAAAGCTCGAGTTATGAAAATTTAATGTTCACTCATCATTTACATTAGGTAGTCCAATAAAAAAGCATAATATTGACTCTTAGAATGAACCGCCTCTTGTATAACTACACGGGTCTATAAAAGTGGGTGCCACCTACTGATGGTGAGGAAAGGAACTGTTCTCTTCTTGGGTGCTTTTGCGTGTGTAGCACCAGAAACTGGATGTCAATCTCCATGCATGAAGGTGAGCATAATTTTTATTCAATATCTTGTAACTTTTATAGTTTTAAAGAACAATACATATATTTCAGATGTTACATGAGTCAAGGTTTCTGACATAAGAAATTAAGTTAATTCTGATACTAATTATACATCTGAAATGCCAGGTTAGGTCACAACTGTGAGGAATGTAGATTCTCATTTTATACTTGATGTTATTTAGTTTGTCTGTCCTAGTTTCTTCCCATCATGAATCAGATGAAATATAACTTTATTTCACATCAAATTCTGTTCAAGCTATGATTGTTTAGAGTTCACTGAGAGGCTTGGCAGACAGCATTGAAACAAATTTTAAATTTTGGCTCTTGGCTCTAGTTAAATAATTAGAAGTAAAAAACTTCACAGTGTAAGATTAATTTCATCCTATGATTGTGGCTGTTGCTTCAGTTAAAATAGTTAGAAACAGAGATTTACAACATAAAGGTTAATTCCCTCATCGGATTAAGTTAAGGAATAACATGTTTGTAAGAATTTAATACAAATAAAATAAATTTTATACCTTACTTCATTCTAAAATTTGATATACTACTTGCCATGACACAATTATTTAACTTTGGCAAGGTTTCCCTTATCTGGGGGGCCTACTTAATTAGCTTTTTAAATATATGACATTTTAACTAATCAAATCAGATTTGCGTTTTTATTAATTGTTCCAATAATCTTTGTAAACCATGGTTGCCAAGGGTTCGGTATCCGTTGGTCTTGTGGGAAGTACACAGGACAGAATCTGTTTCAGGACTTTCTGCAATGAAGTACATGGAGTTTCCCTGGTAGGAAAAAAGGCATTTCACAGTGATATGCGTGTGTAATATATCTCACGATTTATGCATATGAACCAGAATTTTCCATCTGAATCTCAGTTGTCACCAAAGTAAAAACATGACCTGGTGAGTAGTAGCGTCTCACAAACATCAGTTTTCTCCCTGCCTTCTGACTCAATCCTTTTCTAATATAACTTAAATATTGCAGGACATGCTGTACACAAAAATTTTCCTTTCCATGCAGTTTGGCAGAAACAGGGTAGAATTTTAAAAAATGACCTAAAAAACAGCGATCTGATTAAGATAGGTGTTTGGGTACACACACCTATCTTCCTTCCCATCTGAGATCCTAGGAGATGGCAAAAAAAATGCTTGTAGGTAAAGAAACAAAAAACAACACTACCAACAGTCTAGAAATGTCAGACTTCTGGAAAAACAGGAGGCAGACAGGACCAGATCTACAGAACTATAAGTAAACATAAAGGAAAACTCAAGCTACACGTAGAAAAGGCATGCTGTGATGGGACGAATGGTGGGGGAACCCGTGACTACAGGGGTACAGAGATGGTGTGCAAGTATTCATTGGGGAGCAGCATCAGAAAGGGGCTAGTAAGTGCCTCCCCTCTCTGTATATTTTTTAATTTAGAAGCAACAGTGTAGAAGGTATTCCTCTGCAGGGAATCTGTGCTGACAGCTGAAGCCAGCGAGTTACAGAGGAGGAAGGAGGGTGTCAACCTCCTGGGAGCCCCCCTCCCGGCACCCCTCCAAGGCTGAGTCCCCAGGTCCGCACACCCCTCTCTCAAGGGCAGCTGATGCTTGCCCCCATAACCTGCCCTCTGCCAGGCTTCCAGAATGACCCCTTCCCGACTCCTCTTTATTCTGTTGGCCTTAATGACCCTTTGCAGCTAAGTGCTAGGAGAAAAGCAATCGATCAAAGTAAACTGACAATAACAAATAAAAAGTCTTAATATTCCTCTGAGGCACTTCTTTTTAAAATGAGGACCTAATAGAAATAAAATCCCAGCAGACAAGAGTGACTCAACATTATTCTTTCCCTATCTCTTTTTTTTTAATTACTTTTTTCAAATACATTTCCCACTTCAACCTAACAACAGCCAGGGATGCAACTGATGCCTGGTCTGTACTTCATGAATACAATGCTAAAGGGAAAACTACAGGTGGTAAAGTCGAATACTAGCTGTACCCTTCACTAATCTTCCAGAAGGCCACAGGGGTTGATGACTGGTGATGGCTTCAATATTAACCTTCTACGGAATTCCAGTTCAGGGGTGGAATTGACGGCAACCTGTCATATCTATTGGAAGACTTGCGGGGACCTTCCCACAGTGCTTCAATATCATCATAGTCACTCTAGTACCCTTGAGTTCAGCCTGGGTCTGCCACTGAGTCAGGCAGTCCACACACTTTTATTGACCGTGGGCCCCATGCCGGAGCCTGGATCCATTTGGACTTGTGTCTCGGTCTCAAAGGAGCACACACAGAGGCCGAGTAAGAAAGTGGCAATGTTTTCTCCTGCGCAAAGTGTGCAAAGGCTTTGGAAGGAGGTCTTTTGCTTTCTAACCTTGTGACCTAAACATAGTGGCAACATGTTTCAGATGTTCCACTGTCTGTACGTAAATGAAAATCGAGCCTCTCCAACTGAGAGGACTCACCTTCCACTCCACGACTAACACCTAGCTGTCAATTAATAAAGGCAGTCCGGGCCCACGGACAGAAACCTTCCAAACAACGCGGAAGAAAAACAACAACTTGACTTACCTTAACCTAACAGTTATTTTATTAGCCATTCTAAAAAAAAATAACAAACCCTAAGTGGATTAGTATTGTTATCCAGAGGAAATGAGACCTGTTAGAAAATGGAAGTTTTTCTAAAAACTGTATCTCCTAATCAAAGAGGTTTCTAAAACAAGATGGACAAGAAAAAACCAAGCTTAATGGCTTTTAGGGAAAAAATTTCTAAAAAATAGATACCTTTCCAATGTACCCAGTTATTTTCTCATTCTCCTCCGCTACGGCTGTGGGCTAGGGTGGGGTATAAAGGTGGGGATTTTTAATGTTTATTTTTTTAGCTGGATCTACCCTGACCTGACACCCAAACTAGGGTGGTGGTGGTAGTGGGTGGGGTGGGGGTGGGAGGTTGGGACAGGAAATTCGCGCTTTCAGCCTAAAGCAGTGAGCCCATGGGACATTCGCGCGGCCGCCCCCCTCCGTGCGTCCGGCCACGAAGTCCGCCTCCCCGCCTCCACCCTGGACCCCTTTGTCTTCCCGAATTACAAGCGGAGTGCCAGGAACTCCTCGCAAAAGTGTCCCGGCCTCGCGCAGAGAAAGGGTTCCGCAGTCCGGGGACCGCCAGTCCGGACTCAGGCCTCCGCTCTGTACCCGCTCACAGCGATCTGTTACCCCAGGTGCCAGTGGCGAACAGCTGCAGCAGCAGGTGGCATCCAGGGTGCGATCCATGAGGCGCAACCTAAGCAGCATGCTGCGCACCGCGGCGAAGAAGGAGCCCCAGGGCGTGGTCTATCAGGGCGTGGAGGATGTCTTGGATGACTGCAAGGACTCATTTATGGTATCCTGGGCGACTGGCGGTCGGGAGGGCGAGGTCAGGGCGGTGCTGGTTCTCCTTCCCTTTGCCCTCTTGGATTCGAGGTTTCCTAGCGGGCAGCCAGGGGATGGATGCGCAGGGAGCATGGCAGGTGAGAGCTGCGGGCTTGGGGTCTGTGCGCTGCACAGGGCACTTTCTGGGAACGGGGCGGGGGCGGGGAGAGGTGGGTGGTCGAGGGCGGGGGTCGGCTTTGCGAAGGCGCCTACACTGTGCGTGCTCTGTTCTGGCTGCTTGCTCGTTTGCTCAACCTTTTCTTGCTCGTGGGCAGCGTGGGGAGCCGACTCCCAAAATGTATCCTTTACATTTGGCAAAATCAGGCAACCGCATAAAATCAGGACAATTTTGGAGCGTGTGCTGTTTTGCTAGACCTTTCTGTAGATTTTATTTCAAACCAAGGAGCCAGTTGGCTGTGTCCCTGGTAGTCGGATTTCCAGACGTGCATTAGCGGTCAGAAGCACACTTTTCCCGTGGAGTGGGCCAGAGAAACCGCACCTGTAATGGAAGATTGCGGGAATGGCCGGATTGGAGAATCCCGCAGAGAGTGGGTGGTTGGGATAGACTCTGCGGAGGGGGAGACCCTTTGAAGATGTGTAGGTGGTCCCTGGAGAGTCCCAAAGACTAGGATGGGGCTTCTGTTTCTTAAAACAGTTTCCTGGACATCTGCTCTGAAGCTCGCATTTGCTACTGCCACCTTCCGATGGCGCAGTTCGAGGGCAGAGGCTGTAGGTGCGCAGAAATGGAACTGGGTTTCCTGAGATTGTCAGCAGGAAGAAGGGGCTCTTTTTAGACATTAACGTATCTCTACAAATATCTCTTTAAACCTCCACCACAAATCCCTTTTCATAATGGAATCATAGTAACAATGTCTATGTGTTTTCTTGGGGTGGGGGAGGAGGGTTGCTTAGGACATACATTAATAGCTCATAGCTTTTCATTCACAAAAGTGGGATGTCACAGAGGTTTGTCCTCTGATTTCCTCACAAAATATGTTTCAGAATGCTTTTCTAATCAGCACCTGGAGATGTACCTCACTCTTTTTAGCAGCGGTGCAGCATTCCCTTACCTGAATGTATCATGATGTATTTAACCAATTCTGCATCCATGGGCACTTAGGTTGTGTCTGGTTTGGTTTTCTTTTGTTATTTCATGTGATTAAATGAATCTGTGAGGAGAGATGTGGCTTTGTCTCTCCGTCCACTGGTTCCTTAGTGGATGTGTCTGTGTGTTAAAGTCCTAACAGGATCAAGAGGTATGTAGAACTTTAATTTTGGTAGAAATTGACAAATTGCCCTCTAAACAGGTAGCACGAACTGACACTTGCCAATCGTCTGTGGGAGTCAGGCATGTGCAGTACATCACGTAACCCTCAAACTGGGCTTCCCAAGCTGAGTGTCTTTGCACGTCCAGACGGAGCACTGGCTACTTTTCTCCTCCTCAGTATTAACAAGTTCATCAAGGTCTTTTGCTGAATCCCCAGTACTGAGGTCATGAGCAGATTTCAAGCATTGAGATAGTGTCTGTGGAATTAATATTATGGGACAAGAAGGAATTATAAAATTTTGAAAATCACACCAGAAATACTTTCTTTGCTCACCTAAGTAGAGCTGTTTATGTTGTTGTAGACACCACAGTAGAGCTAGATGAATTTATATCTTTTATTTTACTACCTGCAGTAATTCCAGGTCATTCTGTAGAAATCTCAATGGTGAGATGAATTAGAACTCAACACATATAACTCTCCCAATTGTTCTGAGCTTTAAGGATTTCCTGATTCAAAAGACATTGCATATAATATTTCTCTCCACACACATAGTGTCCCAGGCATACTAACCACTGGAGGCTGGCAGAAGCCTTACAAGATGAGAAATGTGAATAAAACCATCTGACACACCTTTGTCCTTTCCCAGTGACCTTTCTGCAAGAGTGAACCCTTCAGCATTTGACCCTTAATTTATTGTAATGTCTCCCCTTGGCTTCCCTCCTTTTTGCCCCATTATCACTTACATGCATTTCATTAAAGTAACCTGAAACAGATATTATCTGATATCTCTAACTTAAAGAATTTGCTTCTTTAAAGGTCATCCAGGTTATTGTGTTCTGTATGTAGCCATATAGTTTAGAATCCAAAAGAATCTAAAGTGAGCTTGTGATACTACAAAACTACACTGAATGGATATGTAATAATTTGTTTTAATCACATTTTTTTGCTAATTGCAAAACTTTCCTTAAGAAATCCTTCAAAGGCTGACTGTTTAGTGCCTCTGATGAGCTTGTATAAAGTATTTTGATGCGCTCCTGGATTCAGCAGTGCCTGGGGAGCATCTGAACCTCGTACTTGTTCCCAAGTGTGTAACTGGGATTGTGTTAACAGCGCAATGCTGATCAGACCCATAGGTTGCTCTTTCTGGCTCTGTGAGGTGAGCAATATAATCCCGTTATTATCACTGGAAGAGCATATCATTCAGGTGCTGAGATACTTCCAAATGGATTTAGGTAAACGCTTCTTTGAAAGGGTAAGGTATTAAGAAAGCCTACTTCTGTCAGAAGCTCATTTTTTAACTTATTACTGAATGTGTGTAAATTTGGAAATGATTCATTACCCATTGTCATGCCCTGTGTTCACTAAAGGAAGGTATATGTAGCTTATATAGAATTTTGTAATTGAGAAGAAACACATCTCCATTTAAGGAGCTACCATAGAAGAGTGATTCCTTAGGTACTATTTTGTGTTAAGGAAGCAAAAATCAAAGATCAAAATTGAAGAGATTTTTGTTTTATTTATTCAACCTGACATTTATATGTGAATCCTAAATCCTCAATTCTTTATTAACTACATTAAAATACATTAAGTATTTTAACTCTTCATTTTATTTTAATTAAACAATTTTAGTCATGAGAAATGTTCTAGTTATCTTTAAGATAACTAATCACGGGTTTTGACACGTATATTACAACGTGTCCAATTTGACCAGTCACAGTCGAAAGTAGAATTAACGCAAGTGCCTAGATCATTTGTTTGGAGAGGTTTCTGAATTTTCAGAAAGTAGTCATTTTATAGTGGGTTCCCTGAAAAACTACTGTCTTGTAGAGAATTTTGCTTTGGGTTCATATGATGAAATATTTGCTGAGAAACAGCTTTGGAAAAATTTCAGACAAATGTGTTTTTTTGGTTACATATTTGCAGAGCTTGAAGTAACATTGAGAAAAGTTTTAGTTTCTGTATTGTCACAGGATTGGAGTGAGATTCCATTAACTTTTCCCATTGATTTTTAAGCCTGGAGGGAATTGAAATTCACCAGGTGGTCGGGGAAGTTCTGGTGTGTCTAATAGTCCACATGTCCTCACCTGCTGCTCTGTAAGAGCTCTGGGTTTTCCATCTTTCCTTCTTTCTTTCCTCCCTTCCCTCCTTCTTGAAAAATTATTTATGTATGAAAGTATCATAGCAAATAAGTATACAAATGTGTAGTACACATTTAGCATAGATAGCATTAGGAAAGAACTAGAGAGTTTTTCAAACTTTTTTGTTGTTGTTGTTTCAGAACCCATTTACACTTAAATAATATGAGGACTCCCAATGAGGTTATAGCTACCAAATCTACCATATTAGAAACATTAAAAACTTGAGAATACAGTGTGTGCCTTCCAGTAACTGTGAGTGCTGTGATGTCACCACACATCTGTCGCTTCTGGAATATTCCACTGTGCATGCACGAGAGAGCTGGAGAGGCTGGACTGGAGGGTGGGATCGTAGACCTCTCCCGGAGGACTGCAGGAGGAAGGAGACTTAGGAGGGCTATGGGAAGTTGTGTGGACTGGAAACAAGGTCAGAGAGAAGGTGCGTCATTCAGGTGGAAACCGGTGAAGGTCAAGCCCGCACGCGCAGGGCAGCACGGTGTGGTGCTGGGGAGCCTGGCTTCCGGATCAGGCCCCGGTGCGCAGTGCAGGGATATGGCTGAGACTGGCTTTTTCAGCCTGAAATTGGCGTTAAAATCTGCTGTTCATTTTGGCTTTGGCCTTGCCTTTGGCCCATTGTCAAAATACCTAATTTGATGCCATTTCCAGGGTCTCTGAACTAATGAATGATTAGGGATAACATCATATAAAACAATGTAAATATGTTTGCAGTAGAATAAGGTATTTCATTCATATTGATTGGTAATACCTAAATATATTCACTTTCAAGTACAGGCAGAAATTCTAGAAGCAATTTGAATAAAAACCTTGTCAATTCAAATATACTTAAATATGATTACAAATAATGATTTTGAAAATTCTTAATTTTCTGTGTAAAACACATATGAAGATTTTCAAGTAGTTGAATAGGGAACTAGATTGTCAATTAAATAGATATTAAGAAAGGACGAATTCATTTTTTGGGGAACATAATATACTTTTTGATCCAAAATATTTAGTAAAAATTTAAATTGTAATGCAAGGCAGAATCACAGAAACAAGTTTATGACTGAAGGCTTCTGTAAAATTGTGTTTGGTATAGTAACATTAATAATACCAAATAAAATGATTTTTAAAGATTTATTTAATTTTTAGTAAGTTAATTTTTTATGTCATGAGCTTTTCAAAAGAAAGGCTTATCTGGGAATTTTTCTTCATATCTTGTGAGAATGAATCAAACTCAGAATGTTTACACTGTCACCTTAAAATTTTATAAGGAAGAAACATAATGTCATATGTGATAAATTTTTTCAGTCCAGTCATAATATTACAAAAAGCATGAAGAAAATAACGTGTTAGAGAAAAACGATATATTTAAAAAAGCTCTCACTCCTCCCTTGACATCCCTGGTCGTGAGCATCTGTTTGGAATTAAACATTTGCAGGTTGGTGAGAGCAGCCGATGCCGCCAAAACTTGCTGAGCCTACTCTACAGAGTCTGTCCCTGGGCTTTGTAACATTTTACTATATCAGTGAGTGGTGGTTCATTGTATGCTGGTGGTTTTGACTTCAGCTTCTAGTGTATGTCCAGTTTTAGCATTCATCATTCAGCCAAAATATTTATTCCATGCATCTCCTGTTCAAATTTCTGACTTGTCCACTTACTATGCCTTTGGGCAAATGATATAAGGTCTCGATGCCCTGATACATGGCCCTAAGAAAATGGAAATAATACTAGCTCTTCCTGCACACCAAGAACCATGAGGAGGTGAGCCTGACCTGACCCGACTGCTGCGGGACCCTCATGATAGGAGTACCCATTCCTGGGACTGATTGGGAAGCGTCCTAGGTAACTGACCAAGTGAGTGACGTGCTGACGCTCACGATTCCGGCTCTGGGATATGAGAAAGGAAATGTCGGATGGGAACTGACTGTAGGCAGGAAGGCCAAAGGGAGCACAGCAATTTGGATACCTGGACTTAATTCTTGTATTCATGAAAATCTTTTTATTTTACCCAAATCCCTCATACTGTAGTTTACATTTTCATCTGGCAAAGAGAATTCTTCTATAGTTTCACTACATTACTTTTTTTTTCAGATGACATTCCTTACTTTTGCTTCAAAACTTTTCTCAAGACCTTTATTTCTATAGTAGATACACATTTATGATGTGAAAATAAAATCATTTATTTAGTGTATTTATCAATGTTTAGGTGTTTGCTTACCCTTTCGTTATGTCTGTGAGCATTTTGTGTTCTTCAGAAAAATATTACCTTATTGTAAGCATGATAGGCAGTTTTGGATGATAACTCTTAATGATGAATGTATACTAAGTCTTGCATGTTTATTTGAGATAACATTTTAAAAATCTACTTCTAGGTGCTTTTTGAAGGAAACGCAAATGAATTCAAAAGCTGTTTGAGGAGACGAAACAAGTTAAAGAAATATGATGACGTGAACCCCTCCCCTTTGCATTGTGCTGCAGAAGAAGGTCAAGTTGAGCTGATGGAGATGATCCTCAATGACTCCTCTTGTGAAGGTAACAAAATGTTACAATGATTGCTCCCTATCCATGACCCCATTAGATTTATTGAAAAAGTGGTGTGAAGTTACTCTGAAGGTAAATTAGTTCCAGATTATAAAGGGCCTGAATAGCTCTCTTGGAGTGTGATTTTCCCTATAGGCTGTTCTTCCTTAATTTTTTTCCACTGAAACACTGCCAAGGATAGTGCAGAGATCTGGGACTGCATAGCAAACAGGGGTTTTCTTTAAATTTTTCTGAAAGGTCATAAAAACTCATACACATTATGTGTATCCTTCTGTACTATTTCCACTGAGATTATTCTACACTTAAATTGCTTGTCAATGAATAAAACTGATGCTCTAAGAAGATGGAGCATATTCCCACAACCCCAGCCTCGTGCACCCAGCCTCATCTGAGTAACTCAGCTGCAGTCAAATGAGGAAGGTGGGTGCCGCAGAGATGTAAGTATTGAGGTAGTGTGCTAAAGCCTTCATAATTTAAGGTAACTTTGTCAATATTGTGGAAGATGCATCGGAAGTGGAATCCCAACTAGGAAGCTATTTTAGTGTGAAGAGAAGATGAGAGGACACCAGGGTGCTGAGCTTGGGATGAGGAGAAAGGGAGAGATTTGAGAGCTGTTCTGCATGTGGAGTCAACAATGCTCTGTAAAAGATTGAATGTAAGGAGGAAATGTCAAGAGGTGACTGTGAGACTCTTAAAGCGATGAGGCTAATAGTAACCGCGCGCCGCGCCCCACCCCCGAAGAGGGGCATTGAAGAAAACAGAAGAAAAGTGAGTGTGACATGGGAGGGCATAATGAATTTGTTGGGTCATACTGTTTGAAAGGCCCAGGGTATGTTCACTTGGAAATAACCAGTAGACAACTAGAAATGCAGAAGGAAAGCAGCCAACCCTGCAAAGCCACTGTTGCGTAGGAAGGAGCTGAGACTGTGTAAATGCATGGAAATCATTTATGAGACTGTGAAATTGCCCCTAAAGGTAGCTTAGGAGAAAACACTAATATTAAGGGCCAGATGGCCCAGAAAAGCCAGAAGCAGGACAGTGAAGAGAGTGGTAGATAAGAGAGTGATAATACGCACGACAAGGGATGTTACTGGGACAGATGAATTAGGAGATCAGTTGCCACAAAGCCATCAAGGAAGAAGAAGATCACAGTACATAAACCCTTACATTAGAAAGCCTCAGGACCTTTGTAAAAATGATTTCAGAAAAGTGTGGAGATTACTTAATAAGTGCATGGAAGTGTGTAAGTTTAGGCCCCTGTTTAACCAGGTTTGGTGCTGACTGCAGTGCTCAATATAGTGTTCAACCTTGATCAGACACAATGGATGAGATGTGCGTGCGTGTGTGTGTGTGTGTGTGTGTGTGTCTATAAGTGAGACTCAGGTTGTGGGAGTCTGTGAGTATATGTGTGTGTTTTTGAGAATGCAGCATTTGAAAGAATAAAAGGAAATAGTGCAGGGATCAATTTTTAAAAGGACAGACATGGCTGTAGCATGGCTCTACGTGCTGTAGATGGTCTCCAAATCACTGTCATGAGTGAGTACTTTTCTCCCTCCTCAGACATAAAAATACCCTGCCACTAATTAAAAGGCTGATAAAGCAGACAGTCATGTCTGTTTGAGAATAGGTACAAGATGCTGCCCACTCCTATGGTGAGGCCACAGAGAAAACAGTACAATATATCACCATATTGTAGAAATACATGGAAGCCATGCATGTCATCAGAGGCTCAAGCTGTAATTCCAGTCTTGTGGTTTATTAGTGGAGTCTTGTGTCTTTTCTGATTAGCAAATTTTGAACCATTACTATGGGCCAAGCACTCTGCATGAAGACATATTTATATTCATATTCTCTTCCCCAAAACATACATGTATATATTCTTTCTGGTAACTAAATTTGAATGAGAAAACTGAGGTTCAAAGAAGTAAGGCAACTTACTGAACCCCTTACTGGTGGTATGATGTTGGCAAGATTTTGAGCCTCTCTAGGCCTCAGCTTCGTCCCTGTGAAAGACGGTCATTGTTCGTAGTTGGATGTCGGAGGGTTCAATGACATAACGGTTATATGGGAACTAGTAGAGTGCTTGGCATATAACTATTGCTCGCATTAAGCACAATACAATATAGCAACCCCCAAATTCATACCACAGATAAAAACATGAGACAATAGGAGAATCTGTTTGTTATCGATGCCATAGGTGGACATCTCAACTCATCTGACAAAATCAGTGTCAATTCTATGCATCCCCTCCAGGGGTCCATTGTGTATTTTTATTCTTCATGGCAAAAGCGAAGCCTGTCACAGTGCACCTGGCACTGAACTTTGAAGTGAATAGGGATGCGGTCGGTGTTCAATCCTGTCCAGTCAAAACCTTACCCATATTTTGACATCTTTTTCTAGTGTTGAATGTGATGGACAATTATGGAAATACTCCTCTGCATTGGGCTGCAAAAAAAAACCAGGTTGAAAGTGTGAAGTTTCTTCTTAGCAAAGGAGCCAACCCAAACCTCCGAAACATCAGCATGATGGCGCCCCTCCACCTTGCTGTGCAGGGCATGCACAACGAGGTGGTGAAGGTAAGCTGGGACCATGGCAGCTCTCCCTGCCTGGGCCGAGTGGCCAACCTCAGCTGCCAGGGCATGTTAGTGGTAACAGTGATGATCATGATGACAAAGATGATGAGGATACAGTCTTATCTTTATCAAATGGTCCTTATTTACCAAGCATTTTTCTAAGGGCTTTATATGTTTTAGTTTTTAAAATCCTCATTAAAAAATTATGAAGGCTATTGTTATTCTTATTTCATAGCTGAGGAAAAACTGAGGCAAAGAAAATTACATCACTTGCCTACTATCAGATAACTGGTGAGACTAATAATTAAATAACAATTAGGAGTTCTGTTCTTATTTTGATGCTGGAAAGCTAATACTCTTATCACCTTTTTCTGACTGGTTTGATGATTAAAAGGAAGAATGTGATAAGCATATCAGTGAAGACAGAAAACCTAATTATAATTTACTATTTTGGTTCAAGTGGATGATATGTGATAATCTTAGCAGAAGACATTACAATGTTATTGGGAAATTTCTTGTTTTTATCCAAGGTTTTTCTTTTTTCTTTTATTTTTTCCTTCCCCTCTCTCCCCCCTCCCTCCCTCCCTCCCTCCCTCCCTCTCTTTCTTTCTTTCTTTCTTTCTTTCTTTCTTTCTTTCTTTCTTTCCCTCCCTCCCTCCCTCGCTCCCTCCCTCCTTCCCTCCCTCCCCCCTCCCTCTCTTTCTCTTTCTTTCTTGGCAAGTTAGGTCAAATAGAGGAAACTGTGGTAAGTGCCTAACAGGTAAGGTTTAGGCCCTAGCTTTCAAACTGCATCTCAGATCTTAGACACCCTCGGAAACACACACACTGACTTAAAGAGGACTGTAATTTATAAATGCATCGTGTTCTAGAAATTCATTTCTAAGGTAGGCAATTGGAACTTAGAATAAATTTTCCTGCAGAAACAATATTATAAGTCATTTGACCATTGTGCCAAGCCACGTGTCTTTGTCCACTTGATCTGCTATGACAGACTACCATAGGCTGCGTGGCTTAAGCAGCAAACATTTATCTCTCACAGTTCTGGAGGCTGCTAAGTCCAAGAGTGAGACACAGGCTGACTGCATGTCTGGAGAGGACCCGCTTCCTGGTTCCTAGATGGCTGTTGTCTTGCTGTGTCCTCACATGTCTGAGGTGGCAAGAGAGTTCGCTCGGTCTCTTAATTCCCTTCATGAGTCCTCTGCACTCAAGACTTTATCAGCTACCGAAGGCCCTACCTCTTAATACCATTATGTTGGGGGTTAGGACTTCAGTTCTGAGGGACAAAGACATTCAGTTCATTGCACCACACTGAAACCTTTGTCTATAAATCACCAGAGAGGTCTCAGGGTGTCCATGAGCTTCCCACTCCCTTTAGCCCAAACACCGTCCTCTCAGCCCCCTGAGTTCTTGGTCCCTTTACTCCAGGCATAGAGGTCATGAGGGGAGCCCCTTTTCCATTTTCCCATTGTACCTTGTATATAGGTCTGTCCTGATTCTTAGCTCAGGGTATTGTAATCATATATTCATGTGCTTCTCTCTCCCCCTCTGGCTGGTTACCTTTGGAGGAGGGGGTTTGTGTGACTCATCTCAATATCTTGTGTTCTCAGCACCGCTGATAAATGATGAATTTTGAATGAATGAGTAAAAGAATGAATGAGTACATTGGGGTTCTGGCTAAAGGAGAAGGGGAGAGCTTAGGTGTCAGCACTTAAGAGGAGTCAGGGTGGCCCCTTGGGAAGATTATTGGAAAGGCCTCTGCCAGTGGCCTATTTGTTCTTTAAATGTCTGCATCATTCATGGACTGGATGCTGCTTCGGTATCATCCAAATGGGGCCACTAGTGACTTCAGGGGCCCCAGCCCAACACCCAAAGGTGTCACATAATGTTTTTCCAAGGCACCCTTGGGTTTCCCTTGAAAGCTCTTTTCAGAAATAAATGCCCATTGACTTAATTAATCTTGGCTCTGAAAGTGTGAGTTGGGAATTCAAAGGCAGGTAACAGTTGAAAGGCTATTGCTAATTAGAAACTAAAACTCTTCAGGCCAACAAATACAGAAAGGTAGGTATCACACAGAAATGGAAAAGGAAGTTTAGAAGTAAGCCCATAAGTGATTTATAAATTAGAACAGAGGGTATAACAAATGTTCCTGGGTAACACCAGAACAAGAAGAGAAATGGCTTATAAGAGAATGACATCATCAGTCCTGTACTTGGTCTTACCAACCACAACTTCCTCTAAAAAATATGTTTAGACCCTTCTGCTTCATCTGAGACAAAGAGAATAGAAGAAGGAGGAGGATTTTGGAGTATCTCACGTGCTTGCCAACGGTCTTCCTCCGCCTCTCCCGGTTACCCTCAGGGGTCAGGCCCATGCCCCACCAGTTCTGGCCAGTTTAAAATGCTTTCCCATGGTCTGCTCTGCCAGCCTTTCCCCAAACCTTCCACCATGATCTGCCTAGTTGCAAACTGAAAGTTATTATCCATCATCACCTGCAGTTCTTGCAGACTCTGTTGACATTCTTAGTGTTCCCTGGGGTGCATTGGCCTGGTAGTTAGGAGGAAGCCTTGTTCCTCAATTATCTGCAGGCGTTAGTCCTTGGGGCTTAACCTCAGCTATCCATTGGCTTGACCATCCCATGAGGCTTCTCAGATTCTCATCAAAGGGGCATCTGGAAAGCTCACCTGAGAACCTCCAACTTGCCTGGTCATGAGTGAATCTGAAGTGGGTGCACAGTGTAGTTGCTCCCACAGGAGTTGCTCTCCTGGGACCCCGGCCACACATAATGAAACTCAGCTTTATGAAAGGTGGTGCTTATGGTAACCCAACAATAATACCTTACTATCTGCTGGGAATCTACGATCTGTGGTTCTAAGAGGGTAGAGAAGGGATAATCTCTTCTTACAGACTTGAGTAGGTTACTTTGCGTGTGGTTCTGCCATTTATTAAGAATGGAATGTGAGTGTGCCTAAAGTCCCTTGAGTGGACCTTGTGTTCTCATTTCCCTTCATCCAGTAGTAGTTTCCTATATGTTCTTATGAATGAAAATCTCAGTTTAGTGTGCTTTTAGGAGCAACTTAGTAAGCTCAATTCATTTGCTGACACATCAGCACACATTCTATTATCAGGGAACTCTGGTAGGAGGTTGTGTACTTTTTTAAAAAGTCAAGCTTTTAGGAAACAGCTTGTTTTAATAAATTCATTTTAAACAATTTAATTATAAGCACATTATAACATGCTTGCTGCAGGAGAAAAGACCTCTAGGTCAATCCCAAGATTTCTCTCTTGGGAAGAACATTTATATGAGATAAGTGTTGCTAGATTGAATATAAAATAAAGACTGGTTAAAGATCTATAGATTCTTGGACAGTGGTCAGCTGGAGGCAAACTAGGTGTGTGGGGGTAACAGGTCTTTAGTTAAATTTCATCAGAAAAACTGCTTATCCATTTTGTCAGGAATGCTAATTTCTTATATCATAGAAAAACCTTCTGTTCCAGACTAAGTTTGAATTGACTGAGTTAAGCTATAACAGTGTTACACGAAACTCTTTTCTCTACTGAAGAAAATGTAGTTTTAATTGACATTTCCCAGAATGCTTGCAATCTAGGTAAAAGAAAAATGACTAGAAAGGAAAAAAAAACTCTTCCTATTCTCCCATCTCCTTTCCCCCTTCATCTTTCCCTCCTTCCCTCCTCCCTAACCTACACATTCAATGGATTAATTTTTTGAAGACTTTAGTTAACATAGGTTACTTAATACAAGTGAGAAATATTAAATGAACTAATTTAACTAATACCTACAATTCTTACTCTATGTCCAGTTCCACAACAGCGTATTGCATTAATTGAGGTGATACAGAAATGCTCACTACTCCTCTGTTTGAGAAATTTATGTAGCACCAAGTATATGTGAAGTTTCATGCAAGCTTCTATAGGAGAGAGGTGAAAAACGACGAGTAAGGACATGGCACCTGGCATTGAGAGTTTATAACCTAACTACCACATTTGGAAAGCTGCAGGTTAACTTCTGACAATCGTTCCCCCCTTTCGTGCAGGTCTTGACTGAGCACGGCAGTACGAATGTTAATTTGGAAGGAGAAAACGGAAACACAGCTGTGCTAATCGCATGCTCCAAAGATAACAGTGAAGCACTGCAGATTTTGGTTTGTATTTTAATCTTTTTTTCTTGTTTTCTTTCCTTTTTTATTAGTACAACATGAATTGTTGTTATTTACAACTCTTAGTTTCTCTTTTTAGCAAAATATGAAATACAGAAAATATGTCAATAAGATTGTTCTGTGTGTTTTTATATATGCATACACACACACCTTAAATCTCAAATGGATCTGAGATTGCTTACAGAAGACTAACAGGAGAACATTAAAGAAAATGTGAGAAGATCAAAATGAAAAGAAAGTTTAGACAGGTAAATTAAGATGAAGCTGGTGATCAGGCTGGAATAAGAAATACAAAGTACAACAGCTTGTATGTTGATTAAAGTGGGTCACACTTTTGACTTTGAACTTTTAAATAGACAAAGGAAAGACAAATATAGTCAATTGCAGACTTATTGTCAGGCAGGCCCATGAAATAAAAGCCAAGGCAAACATAGCCATTCATGTCACCAAGATGAGAAGAAGTTGCTGCCATGGGTTCTCAGAAAAGGGGCTCTTTGTGACAATAATGGCTAAGGTCCTTCTTGGCCACAGCCCTGAAGGAGAGCCACTTCTCTCTGGGGTGGCCCCCTGTGCCTGGGCGCACCCATCTGACCAACAGACTCCTGCTCCACCTAGTGCCCCACTGAGTGTGGTGCTAGGATTCCAGGACACGGCCTTTCCCAGATATTCCTTAATCACTTGTATGTTATTCAAGCCATGTTCTGTGTTTTTACTACTAGATTTTCCCCCTCTGCCTTCCCAGAGAGTAGGAAAATAAACTAAAGTAATTTTAAAATATCTTCCTAATATTTAAATCTACAAATATGTTCTAATGTGTTTACTGGATCTTGGAGAAAAATGCATATTCTTATAAGCTTTCATGATTAGACCAAAAAGAGAATAAAAATAAATAACACTCAAGTGAAGAATTTAGAAAAGAGCCTCAAAGAAACCAAAAATAAAATAGACTAAATAGTAAAGTTTAAAACAAATAATAGTAATTTTGAAATTATTTGATAAATTGAGTTATTTCTTTCAAAAGATAATAGAACAGAAAAAGATTGGCAAGTCTAACTAAAACAAGAGAAGATAAAGCACAAATAATTACATAAAATTAGAAATAACTAATTAGAAATAACTAATTAGAAATAACTAACTAATTTCTAATTTCTAATAAATTAGAAATTCTAATAAATTAGAAATTAGAAAGGGTTTTACCTGAATATGATGATAATTTTTAAATGACGAAATAGCAGTATGCACAAGTCTTAAAGAATTTGTAAATCCACTTTTAATGGATTAATAGCTGAAAATAATTAAAATTTCAAAATTAACTAAAAAATTAAAGGCCTGTAGGGAACCATAAAACATTTTTAAAAAGTGTGTTATCAAAGTTCTGGAGCCAGCTATTATTCCTGCTGTTATATTATGATGCATTTCACAATATATCTATAATAAGTACAGATGCAAAATCTTAAAAGTACTAGCAATTAATTCCTTGGAGTAACTGAGAGAGTAACATGAAGTACACGTCAGCCTTGTGCAGATTGTACCGATAGCTAGTGCTGGACCATGACACATCCGTTGGCCTGAGCAGACAAAGCATAGGACTCTATGTATTTATCTTTAAATGGATACAAACTTATCTATAAGGTATTACAAATCCATAAGGAAAAGACAACACTCCATGGAAAATTGGCAAGGAGGTACATAAAGTTTAATTAATTTCTCAAATGATCAAAGAGAGATGAGAAACGATGAGTTTTTTTTAACACTTAAATTGGAAAGATGAAATAAAACCGTGTTGATGTATAGTGTTAGAGAAATTTTCATGAGATGGGGAATTTCATTCACTGTGGGTGTGAATACTTTTTGACTAACCAATTCCAATCTAGGAATATGTCTTGGAGATATTTAAAGCTTTCACTGATGTTAACATCAGCATTGTATATATCAGAGGGGGAAAAACTGGAAAAAATAGAAGTTTGTTTAAAAGGATTCATTGCATAACATTTTGTATACCCCAAAATGAAACATGGACTTGATAAAATTACACTTTTAAAGAATATTAGTAAGTAAAAACTTTTCTGAACAGTATGATCACAAAGTATACACATAAAAATTACCGTTGCAAATAAAACAAAAAAGTGCATTGTCTTCTAAAATGTAAACCATTGCTGTCCCTAGAAGATGAGATTACAGGTAATATTTGCTTTGTCACACTTTCCTGCTCTTTCAAAATCTTTTCTCTTATGATTATAAAAGGTTCTTAAAGCAAAACCAAGTTCATTGATCTGTAGAAAATGAGAGTGGATAACAATTGACTCAGGGGTCAAGGTAAGGTGTGATTCAGTTCTCCTAATACCTTTTTTAATGGAGAATTGCCATCAGTGAAAACACCTGATTTTCATAGTTAACAAGAATGCTGATCTAATCATTTCTTAATTTACATAAATTAAAGGAAAAGAATCTGGGAAATATTATCATATTATTTTATTTGCATAGGGATTGAGAATAAATATAGGAGGAGTCATGTTAATGTTTAAAAATATCTCATTAATCCCATTGTAAAATGTGTGCACTTTAGTTTTCTGGGCTATCAAGATGATGTTTTGTGTCTATGTTGTTATCTCATCTTTGGAAAATATGGAGTAAATGCCTCTATTTCAGAATCTTAGCCTGGTTCCAAAGTTACCTTCATACCTAGGTTTTATGTGATTTGAAGCTTTTCTATATAGTTTTACATAATTACAGAATAATACAGTGGTCTTGGAGAGGCATGGAAACCCTTGTCCATCCTTGCAACGACAGGTTTGAGTTGTGTCCTTAGACTTTCATTGCTGCTGTTCTTTCTTTTCTTCCAGTTAAAAAATGGAGCTAAGCCATGCACATCAAACAAATGGGGATGTTTTCCTGTTCACCAAGCTGCCTTTTCAGGTGCCAAAAAATGCATGGAAATATTACTAAAGTATGGTGAGTAGAGGCTTTCCTACATTATATACTACTAAGAAGTCTATATTGGTGGGTGCTAATAATTTGAGAAATATTTAATAGAGTTTAATAGAATTTGTATGTGAGCCTTTCAGTAAGGCTAAGCATCCTTTCTTTTAAAACATTCCTTTTACTTATTTATAATACTTGTAATCTCGAATTGTATCTTCTTCTCAAGGTGAAGAACATGGATTTAACAGACAGTCTCACATTAATTTTGTGACAAATGGGAAAGCTAGCCCCCTGCACATGGCAGTTCAGAGTGGAGACCTGGAGATGATTAAGATGTGTCTGGACAACGGTGCACAGCTGGAGCTGATGGAGGTGACTGCGCCTGTTCTACACAAGGCTTTTCTTTTTCAGCTGTCACAAATTATTTTCCGAAATGCTTTGTAGCTCTTTTACACTTATTTAGATTGAAACAGGTATTTTCTGCTGTTTGTGCAGAAGCAGAACAAGAGAATATATCACCTTTCAATCTACATAAAGAATTTGAGAGCCACCAAAAACAACTGCAAACAGAAATGCAGGCCCGGTAAAGAGAATGACACTGTCAGTGGTAGAAGTATTGTCAGAGCTCTCAAAACCTGTCAGGTTGCAAGGAAGGAAAATTGCCAGCTATGATTTTTCTACTGATACTCTTTGGTAGATAGAACTGATTATTATTTATCACCTTAAATTCTATATTCCTGGGCTTGGTTGACCTGGGAAGAAAAAAACTCACAGCTGAATTTAGGGTGTATCCTTCAACTGGGACTTAGGCATTGATTCTGGTATCCCAACTTGTTATAGAATGGGAAGTGCACAGCCCTTCACTTTGCTGCCACCCAGGGAGCCATGGAGATTGTGAAACTGATGATAACTTCCTACTCTGGTACTGGCGATATTGTTAACTCAGTGGACGGAAATCAGGAGACAATGCTTCACAGGCAAGTGTCCTGCTTACCATCCTGTGTACAGATTTTTAGTGTTCCGATGTTAAATTATATCCTGCAAGGAGAAGTTAGCCCTTACACATCAGCGATTCTACAATTCAAAAGCAAAGGACAGAGATAACAGAGATCCTGGGGTTCAGTTGGAAACTACATGCTCCTTTGGAATCAAAGTAGAATCTTAAATAGATTTTGAAAGAATAAAATCACCAGTGGCATAATCTGGGTCACTTTTTAGCCTAGTGGGTATGAGCCTATATACTCCAGAGGTCAATATACATGGCTTTGCACACCCTCTCTAATCTGTTACAATTCCTTCTGTGTCTCACCCTCATTTTTAGTGAAGCTAATCGAGTAGATACATATGGATGTTCCACTCATTCCACCCTATTCCCCCTTCTCCCCACCCCCAAAATTATAGATAAAGGCTTTTAAAACATCATTTTAGGAAATAATAGTCATGCTCCAAACAAGATAAATATTCCTGCAGAGTTTAACAGAATACATATGAGAGAAAAGAGCATCTGAAACTGCCGGCATACTAGATGCTAGGACAACTCCTTTGGGAAGACAAGGACTTAATGTTTCCTATGTGAGCGAAAGAGGTGGCTAAGACGAGCCACGTCTGTCTCTTTGTCTCTGTCTGTCTCTCTGATACACACACACAGCTGTGATCCTGCTGGAAGCCTACGCTGTCTCTCAGGGAAATCTGCAATATCCCTCAGGGAAAAAGAAATTTTATCTACCAATATGAGATCTGATTCTAAACTGGGGAGGTGGGGGATGAATGTACAATAGCAAAACCACCAGGCACAGTGGCATCTGCCTGGGTAGAAAGGAACTCCCACTTAGGATAAGTTTGCTAACTAAACTTTCCTAGCATAAAGGAAGACTCATAGAAGACAATTAAATCAACAAAAGAACAACAATTTTTTTAAGATTTAAAAAAATAAAATAAAATCAACAAAAGACTGCTTCTAAGGGAATGGAAATAATATGGTATTCTGAAAATAATTTTAAAATGATGTTATTTTAAGACTGAGAAATTTAAAGGAAACATAAAGGAAATCAGTTACATAAAAATAAGTAGATTCAGATGACATTATGAGAAACAAACTGGCATGTATGAATCAAAGATTGTTATATGAAAAAATATAGTTAGAAATCCTAGAAATGAAAAAAAAAAGCCTTTGAAATAATGTATTTCGATAGATAGACTAACTACCAGCCTGGCGGTTCTCCAACTGCTGCACATTAGTATCATGGGCAGCTTATAAAATCCCAATGTCAATTCATATCCAAGATTACATTAGAATCTTTGGGTTGGATATCAGGAATTTTTAAAACTCCTTAAATGATTCCAGTGTTTAGCCAATTTAGAAACACAATGATCTGGATATAGTTAAAAATGTCCACTTACAATTCAGTTTTAATATATATAATTATTACATACATAAATATGCATAAGAAGGAGTTATTTTAGAAAAATAGATCCATCTCCCTGACCCATAAGTATCCTTAACTTAACTAGACATATTCAACTTGGATTGGCTAAAGATTTCTTGGGCCAGTTCAGTCCAATTCTGATTAACCAAATATTGGTTTAGAATTTTGGAATGACCTTCTAATAAATAGCCAGTGATGTTTAGAGTTTATATTGAGCTTCAAAGGAAAACTTGCTCTTTGCACTAGAATTCCTTGTGTTCGTTCTGGCTGAAACAGAGAGCTCTGCAGTCAGAGGACTGGGGTGGCTGTGTAACCATTGGCATGTCCTTTGGCCTCTTGAGCCTTAGCTTCCAAATCTCCTGAGAATTTTCATTTCTAATGGACTCCCAGGTGGTGCCAGTTTAGCTGATCTGCAGTTCCCATGTTGAATAGCAATGTCCTAGACTGGGAGATGAAAGAACAAATCAAGTGGGGCCTTAATGCCATTATATCTTAAAATTACTAAATACGTTTAATATAATTTAAATACAGTGCAACTTCTTGCAAATGTTGGGTCAAAATGAACAAGCTGATTATTCCGAGATTTACATACAAAGAGCTAAGAATAGCTAAGATAATCTTGAACAGGAACGAGGAATAAGATTTGCCACAGGAAACAAAAAGGTTTAAAGCATTAACATTTGTTGTGTGCTTTGATGTAAGTGGAAAACTTTTATGCGCCTATTAACATTATCCTTATGACTAGCTACAAGGCAATATGAAAATGACTTCAATTCTTGCCATAATTGTTTTTTAGCTTCACAAAACCTCAGGAAAGCTAACTGTGCCTGGTTAGTTTTTGCCAAAAAGGGGGGCATTTTGAACCCTGCTGATGAATTCTAGGTGCAAGGACCATTGTTATAAACCCGGGGTCAACATTGGTAACAATCAGTTGTTATCTTTCACTTTAAGCCTTTAGGACAGATGTCACTACTCATTTCAGAACATCCTCAGGAGGATTTCACACGGAGAAAACAGGTTTACTAAAAGATAAGGAAGAAAATCTTGTGATGTGTTTGATGTTTCTCTATTATTATTGCTTTGAAAATATTACCCTAATCAGAACCAGTTATAGATTTTTAAATGTTCTTAATTGTCTAGAATTTTATCATGTTATTAAATGGCCATTTAAATTGACTTTTTGAACATGGTAGCTTTATTTTATATCAATAGTAGCTTAAACTGTTATAATTCTCCTTTTGCAGGGCCTCATTATTTGATCACCATGAACTAGCAGACTACTTAATTTCAGTGGTAACTATTCCATTCAGTTTTTCTATTACTATGTACAGTTGAAAATCATATAATTACATAATATGAATTCAGAAATAAACCAAATTCTAATTTTTGCTTATCAGCGGATGTTTACAAAAAGATGATGGACATATTTGCAAGTACACATTGTGCATGAATACGTAACAACCAAACTCCATTACCATGAAGTTAGAATCACCAAAGGGTGTTCTGATGCCTGTGCTAATGTGTTTCATGTGGGAGTGGGTGGGTACATGGCAAGAAAAGCTCTGGAGTGTGAGGCTTGGTGGCTCTGCTGACCTTCTTCAGTACATGAGGCTTTCTGGTGGGGGCGGGACAGGCGGCTCCAGCCCCTTCACCAGCCACTGTAAGCTTCTACCTCCAGCTGCCCCGGCGCTCTCTTTCAATAATGAAAAGCTGAGGAACTAATTTTGAGTTAAATTTTAACAAGTCATTTATACAGATGAATATATGATGAATTTATTTAAGTCCTAATATATCAGCAATGAAAGTATTTTCATTCCTAGTATTTAACATGTTTGTTGTCAATAGCAATTCTTGATATGGTGATAGTTACATCTATTTCAGATAATTTTTAAAAAGAGAATTTTTTTGTGAATTTTTAAATTTCATATGCAATAAATTTGGAAGATTTTTATATGAACATTTAAAAATATTTTTTTTAATTTTATTTTAATCATTGTTCAAGTACAGTTTTCTCCCTTTTACTCCCAATCCAGCCCACCCTCCCAACCCTCCCTACTTCCCTCCCATTTAAAAATATTTTCTTAAGTTGGAACTCAACTATTGCTAAAGGTCAAATGATTTTATTTTTATTTTTTTAAAGACCTTATTTATTTATTTTTAGAGAGAGGGGAAGGGAGGCAGACAGAGAGGGAGAGAAACATCACTGTGTGGTTGCCTCTCATAGGCCCCCAACTGGGGACCTGGCCTGCAGTCCAGGCATGTGCCCTGACTGGGAATCAAACCAGTGACCCTTTAGTTCACAAGCCCATGCTCAATCCACTGAGCCACACCAGCCAGGGCAAAAGATTTTATTTTATACTTTAGGTAGTAACAGAGATCCATTACTATCAGATGTCAGTCACAAGATTAACATGTAAGGATAATTTTTGTTATTAAAATTATAAAAGAATGCCTTGCTTTCTGATGTTACCATCTACAAATTATAGGGAAATTTCAGGCAGTCCTATAGTTAGGCATATGTTTGGGTGCTAGCCATATTGTAGGCACTCTGTCCCAAAGAATTAATATTATTTACAGATTGTGATATAAGTTGATTTGTCTTTTATAAGCTTTTTGTTGAATGACTTGTTGTGTTTTAGGGAGCAGATATTAATAGCACCGACTCTGAAGGACGGTCTCCACTTTTATTAGCAACTGCTTCTGCATCTTGGAATACTGTGAATTTGCTGCTCTCTAAAGGTACCATTAGGGACCAGACCTAACCTTTAGAACTACTACTTAATTCATTAAACATTTATTAACCATTTATTGGGGGTCAGGCATCGGGTCAGGTACCTGAATACAAAGATAAATAGAATATTTCCCATGTCTAGAAAAATATTCAGTCTAATAAGGGATCAACACTTAAAAATGATAATTTCAGAACAATAACAGATAATAGTTATAAAGCAATTATCATGTCCCAGGCATTTTGCTGAACATCTTATCTACATTTTCTCAATGACTGATTTTATGCGAGGTAAGTACTATCACTGTCCCATTTTACATACGAACCTGATGTGATAGTAACAAAGAAGAGATGTATCGTCCCCTCTTCTTCCTTGATCTCTAGTCTCTCTATCTTTATAGTTTATACTTTCAAAGGTAAGACCTCATATATTAATTGATGTAATAAATCACATATTATCTCCCCACCTTTACACACACACACAGCATACACATGGTAAGGTAAACCCATTTTTAACTATATTTAGTTCTTTTATCTGAATAAAGTTTCCTGTAGGTTAAAGGTTGGGAGAGATTTAAATTAAATTTTTTTTTATTTTCTTAAATTAAAACTCCACCATAGGCCATGTTTTAAATAAGTGAGCAGAAGTTACATTCATTTTGTGCTCTCTTAGGTGCACAGGTAGACATAAAAGATCATCTTGGACGTAATTTTTTGCATTTGACTGTGCAGCAACCGTACGGATTGAAAAATTTGCAACCCGAGTTTATGCAGGTAATACATATGCACGCGTGCGGGTTCCCAGAAACTGGGCTGGCTCGACAGAGAGTACAGTGATTTTGCTTATTGTGATTTTTGTTATTATGAAGTCTGGTTCTGGAATTTAAAAATTACTTTAAAGTAAAGATGCAATATTTAAATGTTTACTAACAACATAGTGGTGCTGGCAATAATAAATTACATTGGGATTGAATTTTCCGAGTGACAGAGGGTTCCCACATCTCCCTGTCTGTATGTATTGAATCAGCTCTCCTTCACTCTTTGACCATTAGGAATTGGGTATCAGTGAAAAGGCCAAGCACATGTGTGGGTTAGCAGTACACCATCATCAATTTAAAAACAATATGTTCATCATACTCACTGGTTGACACATTGAAAGCATTATCTCCATAGTTATATTCACTGATTAATATTTATTAAGTGACCATTAGGTGTATCTGAAGTACATCATATTTTTATAATAGATTTCCATATTGCCAATATCTTTAATAAAGAATGAGAAATGTATGTATTTGAATATCTTTAATGAAATATTTGTTCATTGACTGGATTAAGCTGCTCATTTGACATTCATTTTTAATTTAATTTTCATGCAAAATATAAAGTAAACCTAATGTTCATCTTTCATCACTTTGTCCTAATAGAACACGTTAGCATTACTGTGGGGAGAAAAAGTGAAGGGAGCGCTCTGGAGGGTGGTGAGTGGTCAAGTACATTCGGAAACTGCTAGGTTAAAAATGTTAAGTACATTTCCTGCTCCCAACGCTGCCCAGTGCCTCCATACGTTGTAGTCACACACATTGTAGGGGGACAGCACGCACCGTCATCTGTGTTTCTTTTCCTGTTACCCTTCAGGTTATTTATGTTTTTGTCCTCAAGGGATACATGCTGACCCTTGTTGGAAAATACTATCCTATAGAATAGTTTGAAAAACACTATAATTATCATGATAGCAGAGTTATGTTTAGAATATTGATTTTTTTTCCCCACAGATGCAGCATATTAAAAAGCTGGTAATGGATGAAGACAACGATGGGTGTACTCCTCTACATTATGCATGCAGACAGGGGGTCCCTGTCTCTGTAAACAACCTGCTTGGCTTTAATGTGTCCATTTACTCCAAAAGCAAAGATAAGCAGTCACCCCTACATTTTGCAGCCAGGTAAGGGCTAGCTTATGTGACACAGGAGCATGTCATCCATTTATGTGATATGTGCTTTGAACATATGAAACCTAATTTTTTCAAGTTACGGGCGCATCAATACCTGTCAGAGGCTCCTGCAAGACTTGAGTGATACGAGGCTTTTGAATGAAGGTGACCTTTATGGAATGACTCCTCTCCATCTGGCTGCAAAAAATGGGCACGATAAAGTAGTTCAACTTCTTCTGAAAAAGGGGGCTTTATTTCTCAGGTAAGGATATATGATAAGAATATTTATATATTCTTTTTAACTAATTAGCCATTTCCAGGCTATGTTTCTATTTTATTTTTAAATATGGTACTTAACTTTCTATCTCCCTAAGGACTTTTATCTCATTTATTCCTCGAAACATATGTGACTTATGAAATATTAAAAGAAAAGTCAGTATTATTGCCAACTGATGGATGAGGACATTGAGATTTATAGAGCTGAAGACCTTGTTCAGGGTCACAGATTAAATGGCTTTGTGCAGAGTAGTTCCCAGGATCTTTGAAATAAAGTCGCTCATATTTTATTGTACTTTATTATGCTACCATGTTTTAATGCAGATGCAAAACCCTGTGTGTGCATGTACAGACACCCTGCACAAATGCACACTGTACTTTTCATTCCATCTGATGCATGGCAGAGATAAAAAGCACCCTTTAAACTGCAACATGAAATATAAAATATTCCTGAATTTCATTACACTTAACTCTAACACACGGAGCAAAACCAAAGTAAAATAATTATGCATAATAAAAAGGTAGTATAAATAAATGACATTTTGGTAAAAGGAAGATAAACGCCCAGAAGTTTTATAGATGTATGATGAGCTATCTTCTAATGTCAACCAGGTGAGTGAGCAAAGAGCTCATTAGGCTAATGTTCAAAACCACATTTCTTTATCAGACTGCCCATCCCAGCAACGTCAGAGGCAGCTGGGAACTGCATACTTGGCTCAGTTCCTTCCTGCTTCCATGGGAACCCAGGCAGCAACCTGCAGAGGGGCCCCAGTGGACGCAGGCCAGAGAGTTGTTACTTAATTACATCGGAACTGAAATAACGAGGTGGCTCTTGCACCCTAATGCAGTCGCTCACCAGTGTTGAAATTGAATTGTGTCAGGATCTCACACAATTTTTGTATATATAATTTGGAAAAATATCAAGACTTCACTGTGTTTAATATTAAATTTCTGTGAGAAAAGATTAACATTTTCCAAAGGGATTAAGTAAGCATCTTGGAGAGCACAGAGGAAAGATCTCTTCAGATCTAACTCTTAGAAGACAAAGTGGTACTAAGTTAAGTATCTTACAGTGACATATTGTAAGATGATGATATTATTTTTATCACTTTTTATTAGTAATAGGTAGTGGCCATGAAGACTAATATTACCATCATGGAAATTTTTGATATCATGCTCAGTGAAAGAACAGAACAAGATTTAAAATAGCGCATGTAATACATTACAGCTTGGGAAAAATATGTATGACATAGACGTGCTAACTCTAGTCTTACCTGTCCCCAAGTTTTTGATATTGCATTTATATACTTTCACATTTTATTCTGCTAAATTAAAAAATATGCATGAATCCTATTACAGGTAGATCATTTAAGACCATTTGGTTTGAAATTAGCTCATTTGTTATGAATATGTAATACATATTTAGTTACCAAAACTTAGATTGCATTTTCTTTGTCATAAGACCTACCTGTCAATGGCGGTATGCCATCCCACATTTCATCTGTAAGGGGGACGCACACGTCTTTTTTTAACTCTTTAACAGTGACCACAATGGCTGGACTGCTTTGCATCATGCTTCCTTGGGTGGGTACACGCAAACCATGAAGGTCATTCTTGACACTAATTTGAGGTGCACAACAGATCAGCCAGATGAAGAAGGGGTACGTATTGGCATTCCTCATACCTACCCCAAGTCTTGGCATACAAGCAGCTTCAAAAATTGCAAGAAAGCCTTCTTCTTAGCCCAGTCTCTTCCCTCCTTTCCCCTGTTCATAGATCCTTACTGGGTTCTTACTCTGCAGACCCTTAGGGAGAGGAGGGGGTGAAAGGGGAAAAGAATATGGAAAATGCTAAGGGGTGGGGGCATGTTGAGGATGCCTCCTCAGTCTTGCAGAGACTGGTTTACAGGCCTGTGTGGACTGATGACAAAATTTCCACCACCCCGGTGAACTGAGAAAAATGAAGAGGGCAGGGGTAAGTCTTCATAAAACTCAGTGTATTTGATTTGAAGGACTGTCCTTTATTCTGATCGGATGTTCTTCCTCCTTTTTTGTAGGGCAGGTATTGAAATGTAAATTCTTTCACTAACTGGTGGAGATAGAAGATCATCATTGCTTTTTAAAAATGTCAGCCCTGGCTGATGTGGCTTAGTGGATTGAGCATCGGCTTGCAAACTAAACTAAAAATGTCTTTGTGTAACAAAACAAAAGATTGGCAATCACAGAGAAGCTCTGATTTAAATTGCTTTTATTGATTGATTTTTAGAGAGAGAGAGAGAAACATCGATTTGTTGTTTCACTTATTTATGCATTCATTGGTTGATTCTTGTGACCAGGGATCAAACCCACAACCTTGGTATAGCAGGAAAACAGTCTAACCACTGCTACCCGGCTAGAGCTGAAGCTCTGATTTTTTTTTTACAAGCCTGTGAAAACCCCAAATCTGGGAACCACCATTCTGTAGCATGAGAAATTTCCCCGAAGTATTCTCTCCCGTGGTAATTTCAGCATCCTTACGCTGACAGCTTGTCCTTAGTTCTCATGGAATCATCCCACTGCAAAAACAAAGCAAAATAACCACTTGGAATTCATGGACACACACCATGTTTAAACTATAAACTCAGTATTTTGAAGGTTTATTCTGAACACCAGTTTTACATTTTAGGTATTTGGGTATTAAATGGTTAGTTTTGTTAGTAATTTCTTTGAAGCAGTTCAATAATAAAACATGGTAGTAACATAGCTAAGGCATGATTAGCCATTGCCACTGGCTTTCCATGTCCTGTTTTCTCTAAAAGAACACAGCACTTCACTTTGCTGCAAGGGAAGGCCACGCCAAGGCTGTTGCTCTCCTTCTGAGCTATGGCGCCGACATCGTCCTGAACAAGCAGCAGGCCTCCTTCCTGCACCTCGCCATTCACAACTGGAGGAAGGAGGTGGTTCTTACGATCATCAGGAACAAGAGGTATGCTCTCTTCCTGTTCACTGTCATTGAGTGTCTCCGGGCATGAGGGATGATTCACAGACTGAGAGGAAACAGGAAGAGAGAGTAAGTTTCAGCTGTTAATCAACATTCAAAAATTTTTTATTTATTTGTTGAGTTTCTTTTTAGAGAGAGAGAGGAAGAAGGACAGAGGGAGAGGGAGAGAGATAGGGAGAGAGAAAAAACATCGATTTTGTCATTCCACCCATTCATGTATTCATTGCTTGCTTCTTATATGTGCCCTGACTGGGGATTGAACTAGCAACCTTGGTGTATTGAGACAATGCCCTAACCGGCTGAACTATTCAGCCAGGGCTTACAGTTTTTAAACAGTTTTTAAATGTCAGTTTTTTACAGAAAGTTTTAATGAACTCTTTGGGTAACAACAGACATTTTGCTTGACCTCGCTGATCTTGAGTTTCCATTTCTAAGTCATGGGGGCTCGGATCACCTTGTGGCTGTCTCGGGAGACTCAGGGTTTCAGAGATGTGTAGTGTCTGGCACCACAGTTGTTGTTGAGAACACTCTGCCCAGCCCTGTCTGAACTTCCCCGACACTCTGTTGCCAACAGAAATCCCAGAACTGGATGTTGGTGAAAATATTCTCCAAGGGTATTGTCACTAGTGCTGTCTATGGAATTCCCATTAACACAGGATCTTTTGTGGTTGAGGATTTTTTGAACTAGACTCCCAGGAGCTTTAATGATGAAGTTGGAGAGTAGTTTGTCCCACTTCTTGTGCATAAATTTTTCTATAGAATCACAGACAGATATGTGCAAGGTCCCAACGTCACCCAGTAGTGGACACAGAAGTAAATGATCTCATGTTCAAGGCAGATAAGGCCTGTGTTTTTGAGCATGGCACAGTCTCAAGATCTCCTTCTGATCATTCTTTTGAAGCACTTGCCAATTCAAGTGTGCAAGCAGAAGTTGTCTACTGATTACGCACATTTTCTAGATGGATTTTACTGATAGGGTTAACGGAAAATTTGTCTGAGTAGATTTTAGGACCAGCCTCCTGTGACATAGATGGGCCATTGGAGGTAAATGGACTCACTGCTTCCTGTTGTAGATCTATTTCCTCCTTGGTATCATCTGTATCTTTTTATCCTGTTCATCTGGATGGAAATGAAAAGGGGGCAGACTCTGCAATGTGCTGGCAGAACCTGTGCTTGTTAAGGCACTCAACACACGTTATTTTGTAGTTTAATTCAATATATGATGTATACATGGATTAAATTGTAAATATCCTGTGCCCAGTTCTATGTTGCTAAAATAGTATGTGGAAGTGAATATCTCTACCCAACATGACCAGCTCCTGATCTCAGGGGGAACAGAAGGCAAAGCCTACATTCCTTAAAGGCATTTAGAGAAAGAGAACAGTGATTATAACAGCCCTCCTGGAATTTGCCCACATTTCTCATTTCCATTAATGGACAAAGACCCTACTAATGGATGCATCTTGGTTCAAATATTGCTTTCATTGGGATCAAGTCAGGTTTCCTGTAAAGACATAATCTTGAGTATCAACTGATAGCTTTGCTATTGTACAGAACAGAAGAATTAAAACTTGTTTTTTTATTATTTTTTTTTACAGATGGGAAGAATGTATTGGGGTTTTTAGTCATAATTCTCCAAGCAATAAATGTCCAGTCACGGAATTGATAGAATACCTCCCTGAATGCATGAAAGTAAGCTCTTCAAACAAAACTCCTTATGAGTATATTTTATATAATATAATGTGAGGATTTATTGTTATAATCATTACCTAAATAATAGTAATTTCCATCTTTAAATAAAGTTCCTAGTTGTACACAGTCTTTAAGGGAACTTAGCCAACCAGTATTTAAGAAGAACCTACTTGGATTAAAGAAGGCTATCCTATTAGTTGTTGTGTGGAATACAGAGAATATGGGCAACAGGGTTCTTTATTCAAATAATCCAAGTCTAGAGCAGAGACTACTAATTGTGGTTGCTGGCTGAACAATTTCTCTAGATATGTTTTTTAACGGAATGCATGTTGTTGTTTCAAATTTGCATTTGTTGTTTACATTTAAAATGAGGGGGCTCCCATAAGGATCTAGATATCTGGATTCCTGTAAAAATCAGATCTAGTGACTGGGTCTAGTGTTCACAAGGCAGGAATCGCTGGGTGAGTGAGTAGCAGCTGCTTCCTTTCCATGGGGCCAGCACCTCCCATCTCTCACCCCCTACCTCCTCCTCTTGTATATTCAGCTCTCATGCCAGTGTTAGTTGCCAGGTATTGTCATTCTTGTGCAGTTGATTTCCTTGTAGTAGAGTGATACTTCTCTAAATATGCTTTTATCCAAACTGTGAAGAGTAAAAAAAAAAAAAGGAAATCTCACTTTTTTCAACAGCATGGGAAGAGCTAGAGGGTATTATGCTAAGTGAAATAAGCCAATCAGAGAAAGACAAATACCATATAATTTCACTCATATGTGGAATCTAAAACAAAATAAACAAACAGAATAGAAACAGACTCATAGATACAGAGAACAAACTGATAGCTGTCAGAGGTGAAGGCGTTGGGGGAATGGGTCACATAGGTGAAGGGATGAAGCAAAAAAAAAAAAAAACAACTATAGACACAGACAACAGTATGGTGATTACCAGAGGAAAAGGAGGGTGGGGAGCAAGTAGCAAAGGGGAAAGGAGGGTAATAAATGGTAATGGAAAGAGACTTGACTTTGGGTGGTGAACAGACAATACAATGTGTTATAGAGTCATACATTTGAAACCTATATAATTTTATAACCAATTTAACCCTAATAAAAGCAATTAAAAATTAATTTAAAAAGTAAAATAAATAAAAAACCCCAAACTGTGAAGATAATAGCAGGCACAAGGACAGCCAGCATCTAGAGGATGATGGGAAAGCTCTGAAGGCTGGCGTTGTTCGCCCAGTCACACTGCTTGCCTGGCCTCTGTGGACCTCAGAAAGTGTGGCTGTGCTGGAGAGAGCCCAGCACCTAACCGGGCATCCACAGCGAGAGAAACATCTACAGATGCTGAGCCCGTGAGTGTTAAAGGATGCAGATACAAGACCTCCTGGCAAAGCTGAGATTTAAAGACTGGGACAGACAGGGAATAATTCAGAGAAGAGGAATGACTTTGAATGTAATTCACAGGGAAAAATATATTCAAATACTGGAGGAGGCAGTGAGACAGATTTGGAGCCTGGCAGCCCTGGGATTCATTCAGTCCTGGCTCTGCCTCTCGATTTAGGCGAGTCATTTCACCTCTCTGAGCCCCATTTTCTGTTTTTGTTAAAGCAGCGGTGCTGACACTGATCTGGCAAAGTGTCACAAAAGGTAGAGGTAAACTATATAACGTATGTAGGATAGTGCTTATCCAATATTACCCATCCTGTTATTCTTATACTGCTTATATGGTTATTAGTGCTATTAATGGTTTTTATTTATTCAATAAGCACTTAGTATGTGCTAAGTACTGCATGTGCTGTTTTTCTTTATAACATCTAATGAATATCAGAGCAGGTCCAGTTCATAGATGAGCATTTTAGGTGCACAAATTTCATCAAAGGGCATATAAATATTCAGGATTGAAAAGGGGGATAAATGATCATGAAAAACATACAATAAAAAAGTAAAAAAACTTGGTTTATAGTTCTTATGGAAAGTAATACAATAATTAATAAATAATAATTCAAGAATAAAAAAAGACAATGATGTCAGACTTTCTTACTCAGCAAGTCCAGTTGTTGGAATCTGTCCTGATGAATTATTAGAGGGACAGACAGATTTATATACAAAGGTGTTTCCTGCAGCATTATTAATAATAATAAAAAAGTGTTAGAAATGTTTACATATACAAAACATAGAAAAGAATTGAAAAAATATACCAAAATATCAACAAGAATTATCACAGGTGTGGGGATCATGGCTGGTTTTTCTTCTCTCCTTTATGCTATTATATACTTTCTAGTTTTCTGTAATGACTTTGTATTTAAGTATTGTGAAATCTTTTTAAAATAGGGTAACTTAAAGATTTCGTAGTTTGGCCTTACTCCATACATTTGAGTGACTGGCAGAAGCCCTTGCCCATGCCCTGCCCCTCCCAGCCCATCCTTCACTGTGCCTATCAGAGCTCTCAACCTTAACAGCCAGACCTGCCTCTCTGGTTCTGGCTTGCTTAGCACTACGGATGAGTTGTGGCTTTATTTTCGTGATGGCTATTATGACCCCTAGTGTCACTACCTCATCACCAACAGAGACTTCCTTGCTATTTCTTAAGGCCCTCTGGTATCGAGACCAGCCAGTGGGGCCTGGCTCCCTGGTTCTCCCCTTCAGGGAGTTGTCCAACTCTTCACCCTTGAGTCTTTCAGGAAGGGTTGGCCAGATGCCTCAGGAGGTCTGGGCGACATACCGATGAGGTCATCTGGGGCTTTGTGTCTAAATCCGAGTCCAGGAGGGCACCTGACTAGGTGTATTTCTTTCTCGGGATGTGAATTTGGGCCACGAGGAAAGCACCAACACACAGATTGGGGTGCTGCAAATCATTTATGCAGACAGGAGCCCCACAAAAATATTTGTTCCCATACAACCTAAGGGAGGCTCTGATAACCCCTTAAGTCTTTTCTCTCTTTGTGAAGCATCTGGAAAGCCTGCAGTATTTCTGCTTGTAACAGCTGTCCCCCACTATCCTGTCTATGCTCCTCTGCAAGAAGACTTGGTCACTACTGCTCAGCAAGCGAGGCACAGGAGCAAACACAGAACCTCAGGCTCAGGCAATGCAGATGAGACCTCCGCCGAAGAAAGACCCAGGGCTCAGCTGAGAGCTGATTAGGGACAATAAATTATCATTAAAAGATGCTAAGTAAAGAAATCTTTAATAATCTATATATTCTCTACAGTCCCAGAAAGACATCAAATCTTAGGCAGAACTAGTGAAATATTTCTTACTCAAATTTCAGTAAATGCACCTTTTTCTCAAGCTCATGATGTTTTTCAGAATCCCTTGCATTTCTGAGGTGTGCTGTGAGAGATGCTACATTTTATTTTATTATTTTTTAACAAAGTAATTGCAAATCTATTTTTTTTAACATTTTTATTGTTGTTCAAGCACAGTTTTCTGCCTTTTCCCCCCACCCCTCCCCACCAACCCAGCCCTCCCCATCTCCTTCCCCTGTTCCCACCCTGCCTTGCTATTGTCCATGTGTCCTTTATAGTTGTTCCTGCAAACCCGTCACCCTTTTCCCCTACAATCCCCTCCCCTCTCCCCTCTGGTCACTGTCTTTGTTTCTGAATGACGTGGATTACAGTTTACCTTGGAGGCACAAGAAGCAGAGGAAGGGAAGGGAATGTCTGGGTGTTCTTTTAGAAATGGGATCAAATCCTATCTCTTACCTATTCTCCTGCCCAATAGCTTAGCCATTTTTCTTCTCAAAGGAACTTTTAGATTGCTGCATGACACCCTCCATGGAAGACAAGTCCTGCCGAAACTACCATGTAAGCCTATTTTACCATAATCATTTGAAGTCTATATTATTATACCTCTTTAAAGAATATTAAAAGTGTTAGTAGAGTTTCATAATCTCAAAAGGTGGTAATTACTGTTTTCATTTGTCATTTTGCTACATTACTTACTTATAAGACAATTTCCCCTTTAGATCTTCAGTTTCCCCCCAATATTTTAAGTTTCTAATAGCGTTATTTAAGGTTGCTTCTAGACTTACATTTTCTTGCTAGTATTGACTCTAAAATGTCTAAGTGATTCTTTAAGAATTCATCTTTTCCCATGACTGTGAGTTAAAAATCAATTGAATATCAGCTTTCTAGAATATCTATTTTTTGTTTTATTAGAATATTTATTTTTGAAACTAATATACAATAATAACTTAATTTTCTTTTGTTCAGATGAAATGACTCAACTTTATTTGAATCACTTCGTTTTCAGTAGAATTGTAGGCTTGTGTATGTGATTTGTCAAGAACAGTTTTGGGGTCTATACTAGATTATAATTTTTTTAAATTATATCTTCTACAGATCGAGTATAATTTCAAATATCTTCAGTGTCCACTAGAATTCACGAAAAAAAACGCACAGGATGTCACATATGAGCCTCTCACAGCCCTCAATGTAAGTCTAGTGTGTGCGTGTCCAGGTGGATTCTACCCTAGCTCTGTACTGTTTGATACCATAGTTTGGGAAGGGGACTCGAGAGAATTCTAGATTTATAGTTTTATGTCTATCTGCCATGTGGCCCAACCCTTTATTTTTTTAGTAAAGAAGGCAGTCATTTTCTACAATTGCTACAATTTGGTCTTTTTAAAGTTCCATACTCTTGATCGCTTTAGTTGTAATGCTCATGCTAAACCTATCCCAACCCAGACTCCAATAAACCATGGATAACACAGGCTGTTCATCTCAATACAGACAAACTACATATTTAAGAGTTTGCTCCAGTGTAAACCAGAGGAAAATGCAGGGCTCAACATTTACAATCATAGCTTCCAAGTTCATCTGGCCACTGGTCTCCACAGTAAACGAACTTTCAGAAGCTTTTAGAACCTTCGGGAAGAATAAACACAACCTGAGAGCAGGCCTTAAATTCTCAGTATGGACCCAAATTTCCTAAGAAACTTGCTCCAAACCAATTCCAAAGGGTGCTTGTACATTTCTAGCAGATAGGGCAATAGAAGCCATGCAACGTTTACTTCAGTCTCAACCAGGGGTCTCAGAGTAACTGCAGAGGAAGCAGGTAACAGCTGTGTGATGAGCTCCTGGTGTAAAAGGACAATGGCTATTGTATCAACAAAGTGTTGCCATGTGGGAAGGGCAACCCAGGCTTGTGTAAATATTAGCAACAAATAAAATCGCGAGAAAGCAAAATAAAACATATTTGAGGGTTGGATCTGTAAATTGCAGTCCAGGACCGAGATCTGTGCTAATATGGTAAACATGAGCCACATGTGACTACTAACATTAAAATTAGATAAAGAAAAACTCATTTGTTCATTTGCCGTAGCCACTGTTCTGGCCCTCAGAAACTAATGCAGTCTGTGGCTTGCCTATTCGATATCAGAGAGATTGAACATTTCTGTTACTGCAGAAAGTTTCACTGGATAGCACTGGTCTAGACCAATTCAGAATGTTCATTCAACTTAAATGAATTCATTTCTCTACCTGAAAGACTTTGGTACAGACCATGGTGTCCACCATCACCTAAAGTGAAAGTCTGGAAGGCTTACTGAGCCCTTGGAATGTGAAGGAAGCAGTCATATGGATGTTACGCCCACAGGGCTGGTGATGGCAATGACTCTGCAAAGCATTTTATTTCTGCCGAACTAGATTATGTTCTGCATCTCTTAATAGTTCAGACTCAATAGCAGCACCCAAAGGTAACTAACTACAGTTATACTTAGAGAATTTTGGTCTATGTGTGGGGTTTTCCCCCATTGTAATGGAAAGAACAGGCAATACTTTATCATCAGAAAGAGTTAATGTCTCCACCACTAGAATAGGAGGAAATAAAATATTTGCAGCTTTTAAAAAGAAATAGACTGAATAATACAGACTCAGCATCATTTATGTGAAACAGGCTCACCTGAATAAAAACACCACACTCAGGGGGCAGCACGTAAGCACATGAGTATGTAGTGCCTTAATAACACAGCAACCCTTGCTGTAGTTCCAGGACAGCTGAGGGTCTCCTGGAGGGACAGCTGGTCTGCTATAGGAGATTACTGTGCACAGAAGTCTGGAAGTCTAGATGGATCTGTCGGCATTCAGACTCAGGCAAGACAGAAGACAGACCCTCGGCAGCCCCCGAAAAGTTAGAACATTGAACGGGTGTTCCACTGCTCTCTTCCCCTCCTCAGTGAAGCCAAGGGGTTGAGTTTTCTCCCTCTCAAGCTCACTGTTCTGTGCTGGGGGAGGGACTATAGCAAGTAAATGCTGTGAATTTTCCTACTGCCTTAGGCTGAGGGCTCACCTGTGGTGCAGGTGAACCTTTCACCTAGTTTTCTGGATTTCTCACAAAGGCAGTTGGTCCGTGTGTTGTTGTTAAGCTCATCTCTCCAGTTCCAGTGGGTGAAGGAGAGTCTGGGGCATCCTGGCCAATATCACTCCCCCTATGTATTTATTGAATAAAAATGCTAGTTTTGAGTAATGGAAAAATGCAACAAATTTTAATTAATTTTGAAATTAATTAAATGGAATCTCAAATTAATTTGAATTTAATAAATTTTAAAATTAATTTTGAAATAGATACTAGTAGCTTCCAATAACTCATGAAAACTTATAAAATACAGGCTAATTTAACTACTATTATAAATCCTTCTAGAAAGATAAGCTTTGAGTTTCTTCAAGCAAAGACCAAGGGTGTAGCTCTCACTTGTTTCTCTTTAATGCCCTTTCCGGTTGTGATTTGTGTTAGATCGGAAAGCTTATGCTAGCTCAACAAGTGAGAAATTGAAAGAGACAGAGTGAATTAAATACTTGCATCTCTATAAAATGTTTCTCTCGAGCTTGTGATTTAAAAATATACATTCTTGGTATAATGTTTGTTTTTTCAAATTTTCTGAAATAAACAGCTGTTGTTTTTATAATATCAAATAAAATGATAAAACCAGCAAACAAAAAGCTTTGTTTATACTTGCTAGCTTAATAATTTTGTTTTTACTGATCATTTATTTCTTAGATGATGGTACAACATAACCGCATAGAGCTTCTCAACCATCCTGTGTGTAAGGAGTATTTACTTATGAAATGGTAAGCATTAGGTAATATTTCTTTTTAATGATATTTCCATTAAATGCATTGAAAGTCTTCTAAATGACTTTGTTTTAATAGAATCTTCGAGTTTTTGATTTTATTATTTTAATGTTTTACACTTTGAAAAATGAAATGTGTTGAAAGTATGCATATTTTGATATTAAAATGATGAGATTGGTTATTTTTGATATTAAATACCATATTTTGGGGTGGGGGCAAATCGCTGCAAGGAGAGGCATTTGGGGCCCTGCAGTGTAGCGGGCATGAGTGAAGGGGGAGGCTGTTCCTGGGAAGAGCGATGACCTTGGAGTTGGAGGATGTGAGCTAATGTCTCTGTTCTTTCTTTAATTGATGAGGGATTTTTAAGTCATGGTGTACTGGGGAGTTAAGCTTAATTTTTTGGAAATGAAAAAGGTGAATTCAAAGATCTTCTTGGTTCAAAAGTTCAGTGCATTTACCCAATAGATTTTTGAGAGAGATCCTAACTACTTTTCCACAGGTACCTTGAGGAAATATTTTTTTGTTGTAACTTCTCAATTATCATTTACTTATTTATTTGTAGGTTGGCTTATGGGTTTAGAGCCCATATTTTGAACCTGGGATCTTACTGCCTTGGTCTCCTGCCTATGACCTTTCTCATTGTCAATATCAAGCCAGGTCTGGCTTTCAACTCAACTGGAATCATCAATGAAACCAGTGATCATTTAGAAATATTAGATACCAAGGTATTAATTACATACTTCAACTTTTTAAAGTAAAAGATTATTAAAAATATGCTTTTTACCTTAGGAATACTGATCCCATAATAAGGCTGAAATATCAGGACTTTTATTATTATTATAAACAGCCTATAGAATTCACATGTGGTAGCAGTTTCTCCTAGAATCCTTTGTGGAGAGAAGGAATATAATCACATAGGTTAGTAAATAAGTTTGTAAATTAAGTTAAACGAATTGACATGAATGAGATCTTAGCTTGAATGCTGAAGTATAGAACTTGAAAACTGCTGTGCAAGAGAGCAGCTCTGCGGCTGCCAGGGACTGGGGAGGGAGGGGAGTGGTCCTCGGTGGGTGCAGGTTCTCCATTCGGGTGAACTGATGATGTCCGACACTGGGAATGTTCTTAATGCCACAGAGTTGCACGTTTTAAAATGTAAGTGTACGTAAAAAATGTAAAACCCTTAAAATGATAAATTTTATATTACGTGTATTTTACCAGAGCAAAATAATTTTTACATGAGTCTTCAGATTCATATTCCTTCAGAATTCAGTTGGCAATTTTTGAACCTCTTTCTATTAGGGCATTATGAAATGAGTATGTGTCATCTTTATATTGGCATTACAGTAATCTTCTGCTTAAAGCAAACATAGATAGTACATAAAATGAAGCAAAAGAAAAACAAAGTAAATACTTAATAGTAGAAATTAAGAAATGTTGTTTTAATGTATCTCCTTATATGTGCTTTCTTACATGATTTTTGTTTCAGAATTCATATTCTATAAAAGTTTGTATGATTTTAGTTTTTTTATCAAGTTTATTTGGATATTGCAAAGAAGTGGTCCAAATTTTCCAACAGGTAAACAATGCATTTCACATCTCTAAAGTTGTAAATATTTTAATATGTGGGACATAAGTTAATTGCTAAATATTTATTGAAACACTGTATGTCAGAATAAAATCACATACCTTGACAAATGAGCAGATTGGAAACACCAGGCATAAACTTTTCCAAACGCAGAAATCACACGGTTTCAGATATACTCTCCCTGCACTGGATGGTGCCCCGGTGACACCCCCGAAGCAGTGGTGTCCCAGATTCACAAGTCCGTGTGGGCCAGTCGGCCACAAGTAAACTTATGAAGACTTTTCTGTGTTTTCTGTGATATTAGTGTAATATTTTGCTAACATATTTTGAATTTGATCATTTTGAATATAACCGTTTATAAAGACTTATTTGGGCCAAGACTTCATCTCAAATGTGTTTTTCTTTGACTTTCTTTTCCTAAAAGGAATCTTTTTCTTTATTGTATAAAATTTCAAGTTATAATAAAAATTGGGAACTTGGTAGCATAATTTTCACTTTCTACTCTACTTTTAAAAATGGATGAACCAAGTTCAGATCAGATGCAAGAGGTATGGAAATTATCTGCAGGTCCTTGTTTTGTTGATGAATGGCATCAATCTTTTATTTCTAAGACTTTTATTATTCATTTTGGGGGTATATTTTTTATGCATGTTAGCTTTTAAAAGTTATATACTTTTTACACAATATCTTATTTTCTGTGAAAATTAACCTCATTATATGATATAAGCACATGGGTATTTGCCTGACGATACTAGCACATTGCATGTTTTATAATATACATTGCAAGTACTTATATATATAGTTTCAGTAAATTGTCACAATTCTGAGAGTTAGACTGTATTGTTCCATTGTACATTAAATGATTTAGGGCATATTATTTAGTATTTCATCAATTTCACTTTTTAAACACTAGAATTACAGATTTGGTCTCCACATTTCCTTATTGCCATTTAAATGATTTACTCTGCATGACATTTTTAAGAATAGAAAATATACCAAATCATTATGGTAATTGATTCTTAGCACAGGTCTCAAACTTCCTTTGAAGCAGCCTTAGCTGCTTTATATCCTGTATTTCCACATATAAGCAGAAAGGAATTACTAAACCAACCTCCAGCCTCCTCCTACCCCCCAAGTTTTCCTCAAAATGGAGTGGATTCTATGGGGAAAACCCAGAACTTTGTAGAATTTCCTTAGGCATCAGACTCCCTAAGTGCCAGGTCAACACAAGAGGCTGGGCCACCTTCAACAATGACAGGGACCCAAGACTCTGAGTTCAGTCCAGGGTGGCAGGAGCTGGCTTCTTGGTCCTAACCTCCCCAGCTACAATGCTCAAAAAATGTAAAACTATTGTGACTGGCTATCTACAATACATAACCATCCGTAAGATGCTAGGTCTTGATCTCTACATGTGGTAATTCTTCATTCTTTTCAACACCAGAAAAGGAATTACTTCTTGGACCCTAACAATGGAGTTGAGTGGATTATCTACACAACAAGCATCATTTTTGTGTTGCCCTTGTTCGTTGGTATACCAGCTCATGTGCAGTGGCAATGTGGAGCAATTGCTATTTACTGTTATTGGATGACCTTCTTATTGTATCTTCAGAGGTAAAACCAGCTTGAATGATTTCTATATCTTTTAGGCATGTTTAATATCAAAAGAAGGCTCTGGCTGGTATGACTCAGTGGATTGAGTGCCGGCCTGTGATCCAAAGAGTTGCTGGTTCAATTCCCAGTCAGGGCACATGTCTGGGTTAGGGGCCAGGTTCCCAGTAGGGGGCGTGTGAGAGACAACCACACATCGATGTTTCTAGCCCTCTCTTTCTCCCTCCCTTCCCCTCTATAAAAATAAATAAATACAATCTTTATTTTTTAAAAAAGATATCTTCACAGTCTATAAAAACTGGATAAGGAATAAGCTAATTATGCATTTATGGGGCTTACAATAGTTCTCCTTTTGATATTATTTTTTAAAACATTTTTTTTTATAATTTTTCCAAATTCATTTATTAGGTTAAGTATTTTTTTAAGATTTTTATTTATTTATTTTCAGAGAGGGAAGGGAGGGAGATAGAGAGAGAGAGAAACATCAATGTGCGGTTGCTGGGAGTCATGGCCTGCAACCCAGGAATGTATCCTGACTGGGAATCGAACCTGCGATTAAAACATTTTTTAAAAATTTTTTTAGAGAGAGGGGAAGGGAAGGAGAAAGAGAGGGAGAGAAACATCAATGTATGGTTGCCTCTCACGTGCCCCCTACTGGGGACTGGCGCTTAACCCAGGCATGTCCCCTTACTTGGAGTGGAACCAGCAACCCTTTGCTTCACAGTCTGACACTCAATCCACTGAGCCATGCCAGCCAGGGCTGAAGATTATCTTTTATATACTATTAAGGAAAAGGGGAGGGAGGTATGGAGTTCAGAGTGTAGACCAGGCTTCTCTCAAACATGGCACTACTGAAATTTGGGACCAGATAATTCTTTGTTGTAGGGCTCTGTGCTGTGCACTGTAGAATGTTTAGCAGCATCCCTGGCTTCTACCCTCTACATACTAGTAGCTACCATCCCCTCCCATTTGTAACAACAACAAAATGTTTCCAGATATTGTCAACTATCCTCTAGGTGGCAAAATCACCTTGAATCAAGAACCACTGGTATAGACACATCTGTGGGAGTCAATGGGTATAAAAGTATTGGCTATTCTTGTTTTGCCTAGTATTATCTGGTAATTATTCACTTTAGATTAACACAATCAAAATGAAGTGGTAGGTATGGGGAGGAATACTGATAGAAGGGAAAAAGCAAACCCAAAGAATCTAATTCCAGAGGGGAAAGAAGGGCTAATCTCCCCTGCCTCTCACAATTGCTAATGTTGGGTTAAATATATCATTTCACATAATCCTAATAATAACAAGGGGTAAGTGTTATCACTCACAGTCTACAAAAGAAGAAGCTGAGGCAATGATTTAGTAACTTGCCCAAGATCTCAGCTCATAAGTCACATGTCAGCATTTTACCAAAATCTTTCCAACCCTGGGGTTGAACCCTGTCCCCTCCCACCCCCCAGAAAAGACACGATCTGGTGGGAAGAACAATGGCCTGGAAGGCAAGAAGTCCAGGTGGTGCCATTCTCTTGGTTTTGTCATTATCAGTGACCTTAGCAAGTTACTGGATGTCTCTGGGAACTTGGTTTCTAAGGCCTCTGGAGTCCCTTTCACCTGTAAAATCTTGTGACTCCCCTTGTAACAGGGTACCTTTGCCAAAGGGAAAGCACAAGCTAGTGGCCAGATGACTCCCATCATCTACCCAATACTTTACAGCATAGGTGGACAGGGGTGACACAGAAGAGCTCAGGGAGCTGTAAGGAGGGTGAATGTGAAGCACGTGGCTGTGCCCAGTGGCAGGTGCCTTCAGGTGCAGAGACACATCCCATCACTCCCCACAGACACACCATACAACTCATCTCTCTCATCCCCTCCCCATCTGGTGGCACTGTCTGTGGTACTGGGGAGCTGTGATTTCTCTCTCCTACTTTGGCCAAAAGGTCAGGAGGGGGAAACAAGGAGAAACAAAGCAGGTTGAATGAACAGCTTGAAAATAAGACAGCTTGACCCCTCATGAATCCTCATGTCTTCTTTTTGGAAGTGGCTGGCCTCAGTTATCTCACTTGGGAAAACTAGTGCTCAGTGTGTGATAAATACTGACACCAGATGAAATACGCTGGACCAGAAAAGTGAATAAATATTGTAATGTTCAACTTTTCCTAGATTTGAACACTGTGGCATTTTCATTGTCATGTTGGAGGTAATCATGAAGACTTTGCTGAGGTCCGCAGTCATGTCTGTGTTCCTTTTTCTGGCCTTTGGACTCAGCTTTTACGTCCTCCTGAACATACAGGTGAGGAGCTGTGATTCCTTTTGTTGCTAGAAGTATTAGGAGTATGCATTTATATTTAAATCTTAGTGATGTATAACAGCAATAATACAACAATATTTGGATACTTTCAGTTTATCTGGTATATTTAATATTCAAGTGATTTTCATTGTAGGAAAAAGTATAGTCTTATTAAATGACTTTTTCCATTGTCAAAAGTTTATGTGTAATGCATGATGATATGTTTTATGTGCAGAAAAGATCATTTTGATGACTTCACTACCAATTTTTAGTAGTTTTTATCATTGTATTTTAGTAGCTATAGTCCTATGACTAAAATATTTTAAATATGATTTTATCATTTTACTCTCCAGGAGATATTTTTTTTCATTAATGAATTTTGCATTTTGTTTTCCCTATCTTTCCTCAGGATGCTTTCAGCTCCCCATTGCTTTCTATAGTCCAGACCTTCTGCATGATGCTAGGAGACATTAATTATCGTGATGCCTTTCTAGAACCATATTTGAGAAATGAATTGGCATATCCACTTCTCTCCTTTATACAACTTATTACCTTTGCAATATTTGTCCCAATTATCCTCATGAATTTACTTGTAAGTAATTTATCCTGTATTTCCTGTTTGTTGATCATTTGGGGCTCAATAATAATTTTTATTAGCCTCCTTAACCTCCCTCCATGAAGGAAAAATGGGACACCTATGAAATTCATTCTTTCAATGTGCCTGGAGTGTGCCAGGCACAGGATGGGGCCCAGGAGATGCAAAAATGCATTCATTTGGCAAATACTTATCAAGAATGTGCTAAATGCCCTTCACTGACCCAAGTGCTAGCCAACAGTAGTGAGCAAGGCAGATTAATACTCAGTCTCTACATAATTATAAATTTGTCATGAAGTTAAGTAGTGAACAAAGAAATATGCAGCATGATGGCTTGGGGGTGGTAAATGCTATGAAGAACTACAAGGCAGAGGAAGGAATGAAAATGAATGATGGGCTTTGGAATTATTGGGGGGTAGGAGGGGAAGCCAAATGTTAAGCAGAGACCTTCATGGTATGCAGGAAGAGGAACTCATCTCTTGAATTGCACTTGAACCAGAGATTTAAGTGGGGAGGGCATCTGCAGCTTTCAGGTGCCCCCTCTAAAGCACTCCAAGGCTGACCACCCCCAGCAGACACGACCGTGCCCTTCCACAGATAACCTGTTCAGCTACCAGCATGCTGGCTGGCACAGGCAGGAATATACCCCAGGTCCACGGGGAGTCCTAGCTGGCATTACAGGGCATATTTTTCCCTTATTCATTGATTCAAATATGCACATATTCCACACACTTTTTATGAGTCTGACTATGCACCAGGGACTGTGCTAGGCAGTTTCCAGGAAGAAAAAATAATACAGACTACTTAATGTTTTGATTCATTTACTTGACACAACTCCAGAGTTTCATTTTGGTGACCTAGAAAAATAAAAGATGGCACTAAGAATAATAGAGAATGACACAAAGCCCACCTTCTTCTCTTAGAATCACTTATGTTTTGGAAGATCATTATCAGGAGGAGAATTTGGCTGAGCAATAGCATAGGTCAGTGCCATACCCAAGATCCACATGTCCAACATCCACTAAGCTTCCCTACCTGCATGTCCCAGAGCAAGATCAAACCCAACAGAGTGCAGACTGACAATGTTCTCCTTCCCTCAAACTGTCTCAGATCACTGGAAAATAGTCTCCATCCACCCACCCCCGTTTTCCTCAGTTTTTTTCCCGATGTTTCCCTCTCATAGCCACTCCCTACTAGCTTGCAGCCTCATGGTTCCTCATCCATATTGCTGCAGGGTACTGAAGAATTTCTCCATCTCATCTCATTTCTCTGTCTAATCCTTCCTGCAAATCATCACCACGGTGATGTTTTGATAATGAAAAACTGAGCCTGTCAGTGGCTCTTTTAACTTTTTTTCTATGACTCTTCTAAAGCTTCAGCCCAGTCTAAACCCATGAGCATAGCATGCAAGGGTAGTTGTGCTCTGGATCCTATCCAGATCTTGTACAAATCAGAGAAAGATAATAATAAAAAGATGCAATGAGCTAACACAAAGCATTTAAGACATGATGATATGCATTTAATAAATGTTAGCTACAATTAAATATTAATAGTATATTATTAATATTTATTATTAATTTATTACTTAAATTAGTAAATTTTAATGAGATTCACAAGGTTATATTTTATATGAATAAGTTATAATGACACTCCCAAGCTTAGATGACTCACAAGCTATAAGCGTATGTCTCACAAGCTCAGATGTCTTCAGAGCCCGGGCAAGTACATTTGATGTATGAAGGTGCAGTTACAAGATAGTTGGCTTTAAGGGGGCCTGATCTAAACCAGAGAGAATGCCCACCTCAGGATTTGCAAATTAAAAAACAAAAACATTATCCTGCCAAATAAAACCTGCTTGCCGACTATATTTGTTCCTCAATGCTCATTTGCACACCCTGGGATATACTTTCACTGTTCATTCATTCAGCAGCTATTTTGTGTGCCTACTATGTGCCCTGCACTATTCTGAGCACTGGGCACACAGTGGTGACCTGGACAGACAGAGCCCCTCTCATAGGAGTTTGCTTGACTTTGAGCTCCATGAGAACAGGGACTGGCATTTGCTCTCAGGCCGCAGCAAGTGAGGGCTGGTTCAGCATAGACAGGTGCTGAGTGTCTAACAGTGAGAGAGTGAATGTAAGCAATTTAATTTGGACTGAAGAGGACTGAACTGACCCCTTCCCCTCACCTAATTCTCTCTAACCGTGGTTTTCTAAATGGCTGTTGTTTTACTGGAGCCTCACCCACCCCTAAAATGTACCTTTTCCTGCCAAACATATGTAACATAGAAATTCCTTCATTGCCTCAATTCACTGTTTTAACTTTGCCATGTTGTCCAGTCACACTTGTCTACTTTAGATGCTAACCTGCAGCTTCCAACCATGTGGCATGGCTGTTACCCATTGCATCTGGTATCACATTGCACCTGTCCTCTCCATAAAGAACATACTTTTACTTTAAATTAAAATGAATTTCAGATTAATTTGCATGTCTTCACTTTTCATGATAACACTTAAGATTACCAGACCCACCAACATGGCCGTCACTGTTGCCAAGTCATATCGGTTGTGCAGCTTCGTGTGAGGCGTGTAAGCCGTGTTTCAGGGGCACTGCCAGTAAACGTCACACCCACTCCCACAGTGCCCAGGGAGAGCTCGAGGGCACTGTGACATCAGCCATTAAACTGGTAGTGATTCAGTGCTGTGTTGTGCTGCAGATTGGCCTGGCGGTTGGTGACATTGCTGAGGTCCAGAAGCATGCACTTCTGAAGAGGATTGCTATGCAGGTAAGTATAGTATTTGTTTGAAATCAGCACCATCCTGACTGTTCACATGTAAAAATAGCTGAGTTCTGAGAACAAGCTGTTGAATAATGGCATCTTCTTAGTACAGGGAATAGCCATGCTGTGCCTGGTGTGAGTGTTCTCTGGTGTACCTCTGGTAGTCAGAAAACAAAAATGAAAAAAATTTTCCTACAGCAATCTCAGCAGAGAAACTGAGAAATTTCCTGAGTCTCTTTCCATGTTAACAGGCAACCAACCAGGTAGCTCGCTCCCATCTTGTCAGTGGGTGAGGTGAAAGGTAGGGGCAGGGTAGGGGTGAAGGAGACCTGGCCAGCCCGGTTGATTGTACGTGAAGTCAGTTTCAATTGGCTGTATTAACAATTGTGTCTGTTCAGAGTATGATTTCCAGTTGCTAATTAAGCATTTCTACCCATTAAATCCAAAATGCGCTTTAGGTGGAACTTCATACCAACTTAGAGAAGAAGCTGCCACTCTGGTTCCTGCGCAAAGTGGATCAGAAATCCACCATCGTGTATCCCAACAGACCCAGATACAGGAGAGGGCTATTAGTAAGTACATGTATCAAACATCCATCTAGACAGAGGGACACTGCTCAACTTTCATTCATTGTGGATCCCTAAGGGTGCCCTTTTACATGCTTTGAATCACTCTGCCTGTAGGAAGGAAATAACTGTGCTCTCAAAAAAAGTGTGGGATGGAGCCAGGATGATAAAATGATGAGCAGTGCAGAGGGAGACATTTGTCTCTGTTTCCAAGTGGCTCAGCCAGTTTCAGTGTTAAATATGTGCCTCATCCCTGTGAGAGCATTGGATGGGTGGACCAGCCATATCCCTTAATTATTCTTTTCACAGTGCAGATATGCTTTGTGTTTCATAATCACATGTCACATACATATGTAGGTATGTGTGTCTATGTGCATATATAGAACACACAGGTACATATTCACAAGCACATATGGAATATACATATAGAAAATACACAAAGATTAAGCAAGGCATTCCATTATAATGGAAAAGGGACGATATTAAGAGTACTGGATACTAACCCTAACTGTCTCTGGGCTTCCTCTGATCTCTACAAATATTCTTTGTAGGTTAATTTTCCATTGTAGAGTCATAAAATGATAAAGTCCATCTAAGTATAAGCTTAGGCTTTATTCAGACTCTACACTATTTCCCTGACTTTGCTCATATCCATGGTTGCAATTACTTCCTAATGCAGAAGCTCAGCAATTGATTTCTCTGGCCTAGAGCTCTCTTTTGCATTCTGGGCCCCTATATATCCAACTGGGCACTTGACCTCTTCCCTGGGGTGTCTCAAAGGTCCTTCAAATTCAGCATGTTCAAAACAAACTCAGGTGAAAGCTCATGACTTTCACTCCTCCCATGTGTCACTCCCTCCCGACATTCCCTACGGGGAAGGGGTGAAAAAGCCCACCTTTCTCTCAAGTTCCTTATGTTAGTCACTGACCATGCCATTCATTTGCCTGTGCAAGATGTCAGCCTTGACATCTCTGCTCCCTTTTCCTGACCCTTCAGGCCTAGTCAATCACAGGGGTAGGCCGTCTGACTTCCTGGGTGGCCTGTGCAAGCGGCCGTCTCCTCTTGCCTGGACTCCTAGAATTACCTCTTTCCTGGTCACTTCACATCTGCCCTCGACTGTCTCCAGCCCACTACTGGTTTAAAGACGACCCATTTTTAATATACATTAAAATAGCATTTCAGAAATTTCCCCATGTGAAACTCAGTTTTGTTGAATAACAGTGCAGAACGGTTTGAGAGGACTCAAACTGGATGAAATGCCACCATTTGTGATAAGCATTGTTCATGAAAATTTTCTCATAAAAATGATTCATTTAAACCTTTTCCTAAAGAATCCTCCACTCCAGTTCACTCCTCTTTCTGCATTACCTGTACATCTTGTAGTTTCCTCTGTTGTAATGTATGTAATTCCATTATATCTCTTTGCGTGCCTGTTTCTCTCAAGCAGAGTGTGAGGTCCTTGGGGGCCGTGGCTCCCAGGGACTCTGCCAGCCCACCCCAGTTCGGCAGCTGAGTTATGGCGCATGTTCAAGCAGTGGTTCCTGAATTGAGTTTAACTTGAGTAACTATTAATCTTTTATCCCATAGTGTATATTTCAGTATGTCTTTTGCACTAATGAAGCAAGACAAGAAATGCCAAATACTGATACAGCTTTAGAAGTAGAAATATTGAAGCAGAAATACCGGTATGTATTTTTCTTCTTACCTGCATTTGAGAAACTTAAAACTCTTAAATAATGATGCATAGTATAAGGTTATGCTATGTATTTTTGTTTATCTAATGAATTAAGGCACACTTTAACTCACTGATGTTGCTAGTAGATTGAGAATCATGAGGTTTTAGACCCAACAACTTATTGCTGCTGTTCACTGGTCAGTATCTTAAGCTGAAATCCCCCTGAGCTATATCAACTGGTACATCAAAACTCTGAAAGATTTTGAGGATCCCTGGAGAAGCTGGCTCAGTGGGAGGGTTTTAGGCTTCCTCTACCTGAGCTGAGGCCACTTAACCTTTCTGTGCAACAGTGTTTTAGTCTTTAAAATGGGAACAGAAATAAACCAGCCATGAACCAACAGTAATAACTGTAGGAAAACCACTTAAACTTAGAAGGATTCTGATGCCATGAGTCTGTATAGCCTGTGCACAGGTAATCTGATGCAGAACGCTTCTAGTATCAAGGCCTTCGTGTACTCAGGAGAGCTAAAGTAAATTCATGAAACCCGTCTGTCCTTTTAGGCTGAAGGACGTGACTTCTCTTCTGGAAAAACAGCACGAGCTTATTAAACTCATCATTCAGAAGATGGAAATCATCTCAGAGACAGAGGATGAAGATAACCATAGTTCTTTTCAAGACAGGTATAAAAAAGAGCAGTTAGAACAAAGGAATAGCAAATGGAATTCTGTGCTGAGAGCAGTAAGGACCAAAACGCCGTGACCTCAGCAGTAGCTGCCTAATGCAGCAGGGCTTCCTGCGTGCACGTTTCTTGTGTCTTAAACACAAATATATACAGATGGACACACAGGGTCTGAGTTCCAGTTTGGAAATTAGTAAGGAAAAAGCACGAAGCTGATTCTATTTTTCTCCATGTGAAACCATAGTTCCTGTATCCTGTGTATAAGTAAACTATCTTTTCCTTAGTCACATTTTCTGCCATCACTCTGTAGTGGAGATATCCTTGCTCATATGCCCAAGTTGGACTTTACCTCTCATTATTTGAATAGGTAGAAAGTCATTTGCTGGAACACACATTTTTGATGATAAGGAGTAATAAATGTAACTGTTGAGCTAGAATACAAATGTCAATACTAGAGTCCTGCTCAATAATTATATAATATGTAATGCATTAAGCAGTGAAGGATTACATTGGGTTCTCCCATTGGGCATGCTTTCTGTGTGGGAAGATCCCATAGATGGAACCCTGTGTGCTCTATTCTGATCATAATGAGTGGCCTCACCCCTCTGCACCTGATGTCACTCTGACTTGAGGCTCAAATCAACAGACCTTATGCGATGCTTGAATTTTACTACAGGTAGCATGTGTTGTTTCTGTGGTTTTTGTTTGCCAATGATCATAATAAATAGAAAACCTGTATGTCACCCCATGACTGTTGTGTGAGCCATTCATTGCACTGAGTTCTTTGAGATTTGCAGAAGTTTCTCCATCACAAATGCCCTTTTTCTTTTGATGCCCAGTGCCAGTCACATGCCTCTTCATTGATCTATTCATGGTCTCTCTAGCTCTCTCTCAAATAAACCACAGAAATTTATTTTTCACTGTGCTGGAGGCTAGAAGTCCTATATGAGGTGTCCGCATGGTCGGGTGAGGGCCTCATCAGGGTCGCAGACTTCTTCTATTCTCGAACGGTGAAAAGAAAGAAGGGTCCCTCTGGAACCTCTTTTGTAAGAGCATTAATCTCACTTATGAGGGTTCTGCCTTCATGATCTAATTACCTCCCAAGGACCCCACCTCCTAGTCCCATCATCTTTGGGGTTTAGGATTTTAACACATGAATTTGTGGGGGGGGTTTGGGGCACAAATATTCAGGCCATAGAAAATGACAAATAAGTTATAAATTATTTGAAAAGAATATTTACCATTCTCTGTGACCATGACCTTTGTCTGCCATGTATAAGCCAAGTGTAAAAATGATAAAATACTGCAAAAGAAATACAAAACCAAAATTTAAAACTTATTAAAATAATTTTTAAAAGATAAGAGACATTTCTTTCTCCAGCTGTGGTAAATAATGGACTTCAGACTAACTTACCTCCCCATTATACAACTACAAAATTGGGCAAACTACATAAAACAACTGGCATCTGATTTTAGACAAGAGGCAGGTGGAACTGTGATCCATGAATAAGGGCAGGGAGGAAAGTGGTGTGTTCTATATTCACCTCACTCAAGGTGCTCCTCTTGATTTATTTCATTTCCCCCTTGCCTCAATTTTCATGGTTATTCCCTCATGACCTCCAGAAGACACCCACTCTCAGGAATCTCTGGCCATGTATGTACCCCTGTGTTATATTGAACGGGGTGGTTGGGGGTATGTTTTTTTATATAAGTGCTTTTACACTATGGCTCTTCTCTTTCTTACCTCTTTACAATGGACACTGTGTCTGTGAGATGCAGCTGTGACGCCATCTGTCCATCTCGTACAGAGCTCCCAACTGCTGTTTACTCTCACTGTGTAACCCCCGCACTGCACTCATCTCCCCAGAGACAGACATCTTGGTGGCTTCCACCCCCCACTGTCACACACATTTTCAAACACACTCACACTCACACAAATGGACAGAATGCAGAGTGACAATATGCACTAGAAGAAAGCCAGACATTTTTTCACTCATGGTCCAACAGAGCATATGACATGGCCTAGAGTCATTGGTGTATGTATGTGCCTTAATCTTGGCTACGTGGAAAATCTTTGTCCTTTGTTTTCCTTAAAACAGAAAGCCTGGAACTTTACAATCCAAGAGAAATAACAGGGATGTCACAATCATGACAGCAAATAACCTTTTCACTGTCTTCACAGTCCTTGCACTTTGGGTGGCATTGCACAAGACAGGTCTCCATTCTACCACCAAGAGGGTGTGAAACACGACCCCCCACCTGTCGTGGGGAATACTGATACTGAATGTAAATAAGCAATCTTACCTTTTCTCAAGCAGCTTACTGTTCAGTGACACATCATTTAGCTCTGAAATCCTCTCCTCCTTTCACTCCCAATACTGCATTCTCCTGCTGCTCCCACTGGTTTTGGGGGCTGCTGCCCTTCCTCGGCTGTTACATCTTGCCTTGAAATGGATTTGGCCCAAACTAGTAAATGACACAGAAAGAAAAGGACCAAGCACATCAAGGATTTTGAAAATTTCCATAAACGAGCAATTGGTAGTCCACAGAACTTCAAAAATGTGGAATAACAGAAAGTGTACTACCTATGAGACAGATCAAATTTTAAAAAATTTTAAGTTTTGTAAGTGGTTTCAATATATTATAAGTATGAAGAATAGACAGTAGGAGAAAAAGCTAAATTCTAGGAAAATATTTTGAGACATGTATGATACTGCTATTTTAAGTCCTAGCATGTATAATTAGGATCATCAAAATGTGGCAATTTTTCTTGTTATTAATATAATACCATGAGGGCTTCGATGATGGACTTGGCATGTGAAGTCCATCTTTAGCTAAGAAAAGAGTCTGTGAAAAGCTGAATTGCTGCTTGTAGTTTTCCCCAAGGTAGGAATACAATTAATATAACCCACTTTGAAAACAGAATAAAATAGGAGAAAGTTGCTGAATTGCTAAGTCATTCTTCTGCATTCAGGGTTTAAGTTTGTTTAAGTTGGAAAGCATGCTATAAAGCTAGTGGGCCTTGCATGCTGGGCATAGTTTAACTGCCTGGGTGAAATGTTTCCAATATTCATGTACTTTTCTGCTTTAAAAGGACAAGTGGGAAAAAGTCAAGATGAGTACTTTAATTAAAACATTTAGTACGGCAATTGAAAAAATAAGTACAAATCTAAATGTTTTCATTTATTGTTAATATTTGCTTTTAAATAAATATTTTGAGAGGCCCTGCCCAGGTAACTCAGTTGATTAGAACATCATCCCAATACACCAAGGTTGTAGGTTTGATTCCCATCAGGGCATGTACAAGAACCAACCAATGAATGCTTCAATAAGTAGAACAACAGATCAATTTCTCTCTCTCTCCCCCCCCTTTCCCTTCTTCTCTTTCTAAAAAAATCAATCAATAAAAATAATAAAATAATACTTTGTGTATGTATACACAAAGTATCAGAAAGCATTAATTAGTTGCAGAACTGAAGTCCACAAGGCAGTGTGCATACTATTTGAAATGACTGTTCAATGTTAGTTACATGAATCAGTTGGGTAAACAGCAAACTAGGACTACAAATTCTGGCTATTATGATAATATACAGAGTTTTTTATGTATGTAATTATGATTTTTGATTGAGAAAAGTATCAGATGCTTTGCAACTGGAGAAGAAATGTATCACAGGAAAAGAAAACAACTACTTAGTCACTAAGCTTTCATAGCCCTAAAAGGGGAAGACTTAAGGAGACAAACAAAAATACACATCAACTTAGCCTTACCATGTAACTATTCTAAAAAGTCAGCTCTAGACAAGGGTCTCAGTTCTGCACTGCTAATGACATTTGTGACCCACAGAATTCCCAGCTGGATTTAGCCTGTCTACATTGTACTTTTCCAACAAGTTAGAAAAAGGTGAACTCAGTCCTTCTGGTCCTCTGTATATACATTTTGGCTATGTCAGGACATAGGTAATGGGGGATAACACCTGTTGTTTCATTTTTCACCATAATGAGGAGCACCATTTGACATACATGACAATTCCACTAGATAAGTCAAGAGCATAAAGCACAAAGCTGAAACATAGAAAGAATGTTTTTCTAATATTTTGTTGGGCACTGGATTGTTGTTTTATGATAACTTTTAAGCTTATTTTTAACTGATCATGCCTGGGCCTAAACTTTGAAAGAAGAGACACCTATGAATTCTCACTAATCAACAGAAGTTCCAAAAGGCCAGGAACACTAGCATGGATGTGAATGATCATGATGCAGGACACACATGTTTATGGGGAGATGACCCACCCATTCATAAATTTCCACTGTGTACATTTCAAAGACCAAGCCAGTGCTATGTAACTGTAGATTATACCTTCAGTATAGCTCAATGACAGCTCTGACAGCTACAAAAATGTCCATTTTACATGGACTTTTTGTTTGCGTTTTACAGCAGTGAGTGGTGAATGGGATAATAAACATACTAAATCACCCATTTTTCACAGCAAGGAGTCAATTCTATTCAAATCAAAGTTAAAGACACTGTTTCATACCTGACATTGGAAACATAGAAATATAGACTTGATAATTCCTTTTAAAAATTGTAATAAATATAAACAGAATAAATACCTCTCAGTACACTAAAAAAGAAAAGAAACAATGTTTCTTAAAAAAAGCTTTAAAAAAAGAAAAGCAAAAGACCCACAAAAATCTAAAAACAATCAAAACTACATGAATAAAGCCTATAAATCTCGGCAACAAAAACAACTATCATTGAAGGCAAAATACTCTCCATTCAGGTTAATTTTAACAACTAGAGAATAATCTAAACTAGTATTACAGAAAGATGAGCAAAATTAATCTTAAAATGTACACCACAGGAGTGATGAAAGAAACTTAACACAAAGAACCCAAAGGAAAAATTATGAAAGTAGACAAAAATATTGCTTTATATTGATAAAGGTTTTGATCTATTAGGAAGGCATGAGTTATTAACACTTTTGTTTCAAATAAGTTATCAAAATATGCCAAGCTATAAGTTGTAGAAAGGAATCATTGGTAGAAATGCTGTGGGAGAACCTTAACACACCGTCATTAGGCTAATCCCAGCTCTACATTTATGAATTCTGTGACCCACGGAGTTCATTAAAACACAGTTGCCAAGGAACCAGGAGAGAAGAGACTTCTAGGACAAGGCTGCAGTTAGTTTCCCAGACAAGAACAGGCCTGGTCAGGAGATGGGTCTGTGTGTAGGAGAGGGGAGGGTTTCTGATTATGTTTTGTGGTGTTACCCCCTTACCTGACCCAGCTTCACCTCTTTTTTTATGCCAACCCACTTTTCCCCTTCCAATTTAGGACATGAATATCCCTTCCTGAATAATAAATTAAGGAGTTAGCATCATTATAACCATGCAACTTGAGTTTCTGGGTAAACTAAATCTGAACTTATACTGGGCTTGGCTTTCTTTCCCCCTTATCTGGGTTTTGGTAACAAAAAATGAAGCCACCTTACCTTTGTTCATGTGCCATTTGAGGGACTATTTAACATTCCTTAGCCCTTCCCCCCAAAATTCACCACCTGAACTTCAGCTGAATGAGAACTGCCCTACATAAGCTCTTCCTTCACATTTCTTCTGGCTCTCTGCTCCCTCCAAGGCTTGCTCTTCATGTGGGCTTGTCCCACATTTTCTCATCTCCTCTAAATAGTATTCTTGTTTAAAATGTTTTAATGTGTTTATTGATTTTAGAGAGTGAGACC